AATAGAGGACGAAGACTTGCTATACGTTTTGATACGCGTTTTATTATTCTACATACTGTGGACTTGTGTACATTAATATGGTCACCTAGAACAAACTAAAACACAAATTAAAAATTAAAAGAATTTTTTATCTACTTCCTTTGTAAATAATGTTAAAGAACAGCTTACTTGAAATGCTCCAGTTGCATAATATCGTAGAGCAATTAATAGTTGTATTTCTGGGGTAATTGCAAAACTTCTATTGGTAGACCGTTTTAAATCATTGCCTATTGTATTAAGTAACATCATGAATGTGTTTTTATTTAACCTAAAAATTAAGTTTTCAATAAGAAATGTTACTTTATAGTTGAAAATATTTTATACATAATAAATAAGTTAAAATTATGAACCACTTAAAAGAATCAAAAGTACCTACCTAAATCTGTTTTGGAAATCATATTCATCATATTCTTCGAGTGGATTGAAACGGTCACGATATCTTCTTGGCCTCGGTAGATTTAAAACAACTTCCAAAACATATTCTTCATCAGAACTGTCAGAATTTGATGATGTCGAATACACTGCCATTTTTCTTTAGTTATAATTGAATTTAATTTTATAAGATTGACGCGGATTCCGATGTGTGAAATGTGAATTAGGCGTGGTGCCGTGGTTCACTTTGTCGATACACTATCGTAATATTGTTATCACAATAAGTTATCATATCAAACCAATAAAGTTATAGGACTCTTTAACAAATTTATCGAACCAAAATCGGGCCTATAACTTATCGAACCGATAACATTGGTCCAAAAGGATATTCTTAGATCATTCAATAATATTATGGAAGAGCAACACGGTTTCCGCCCTGGTCGTTCTACTATCACTAACAGCCTAATTTTTCATAATTATTGTTTCAACGCTTTCCAACATCATTCACAGGTGGACGTTATTTACACGGATTTTAATAAGGCCTTTGATACCGTGAACCATGCTGTCTTAGTGAAAATTCTAAAAGATTGTGGCACTGGTGATCCGCTATTGTCTTGGCTTAAATCCTACCTAGATAACAGATACCAATGGGTTAAACTACCCAATGTTAAATCTAATGTGTTCTTTACCCCTCCGGTGTTCCCAAAGGTGGATACCTGTCCCCTTTGCTCTTTTCCATCTTCATCAACAGCCTTAGTAAAACACTAAAACACTGTCAAGTTTTATGTTTCGCGGACGACATCAAGCTTTTTATGAAAATAAACTGCATTGAAGACAGTCTTAATCTACAAAGTGATTTAGATAGATTTGTTGCTCTTTTTGATAAATTAGGTTTGTCACTGAACCTAGGTAAGTGTAAAGCCATGACGTTTACTAGAACCCGCTCTCCATTAACGTTCTCCTACCATATTAATGAATCAATAATTTCTCGCTGTGATGGATTTACGATGGATCTTGGGTTCAAACTCTCCAGTAACCTTGACCCGGGCCTTCATATTGAAATGGCTTGTTGCAAAGCTCTAAGAATTTTGGGTATAATAATGAGATTGTCAAAGGACCTTAACCTAACTTCGTCATTGAAAGTTTTATACTGTTCGTTAGTCCGGCCAATTATTGAATATGGTGCCATTGTTTGGGATCCCCATACTGCCGACAATGCTTGCCAGGTCGAAAGGGTATAGCGCAGGTTCTTGCGATTTACAAGCTTCCTGTTAGGCATCAAATCTCCACCTCATGATTATTCCCCAGTTGCTATTCAGCTTAATCTAGCCTCACTGGCAGAGCGCAGGCGCATTATGGGTAGCAAGTTCTTGAATGGACTGTTAGATGGTAGTGTTGATTCCCCAACTTTACTATCCTTAATTAATTTTAAAGTACCCCAACGCTCCACCAGCTCCATTACTCCATTTCATGTCCCTTTTTGTTCCACCAACTACTTACTAAATGAGCCTTTAAGGCGTATGATGCATAATGCCAATCTGGACCCCACTTTCTCTTTTAGTTAGCTCTGTCATATTTATTATTATTGAAATGCATATGTATATTTTTAATATTATTGTTATTAATATTATTATTTTTTGTTATTTATTTTTTTTTTCTCTTCCATCTTCTATTAACTTTTCTTTCTTTGTAAACCATATTATTATCAGTTTTTTCTATGTAAAAAAAGGACCTAGCCCGTATATTCCAATAAATAAATAAATAAATAAATAACACAATATTTATTGGATTAATAAAACTTATAGATCCTTTGTGTAACCTGCCAAAATGTTATTGATTCGATAACCTAGTTAATGGTTCGATAACTAGTTATTGGTCGTTTGTGCAACCGGGCATAAAGGTTTGTTGAAGTGTTAACGACTACAATGTAAAAAAAATGTATATATACATTTATAAAGATTTTAAATAACAACAAAATAAATATTAATAATATTACTCTTCGCGCCAAGTGCAGGGCGATAGTTTGGCAAGACTGCGAATGTTGTCCCACTGTCAGCAATATTTCAGCTTGAGATAGTGTTTTTCTTATCAAGCTGATAGTGGACGGCCTGTGACTGCGTCAGTCCGTTATTATTTCTTGAATTTTTTATATTATTCGTAGTTTTTATTTTATTATGGTTTTGTCCGCTGATTTTCTATTTTTATTAATTATTTCTTTCTGTATAATCTCTGTTGTGCGTCAGTGTCATCAATTATTGTGTTAAATTTATTATTTTTTTGTATCTTGACGACACTGTCCACAGCAAAGGTTATAAAAGGCTGGACGCACCAGCTCTGATCGCCTTTTATTCATTATTCTTCGGTCCAAAGACATTTGTTTCGTTTTTTTGTAACATTATTCTATGCATTAGTCAAAGCACATGTGCCAAGTCGGTTCGTTCACTTCGTTGGTTTTTCATTGTATTCAAGTTTTATTGTTGGTAACGTATTGTTCCTAAAAGCATTATATGCACAACTATTATATTATACTTTTCTCAGCAGGGTGGTCATATTTGGTCTACATTCTGTTTGTGGTGCTTTTCCTGTGTTATATTCGTAAGTGGTTACCTCAAAGCTGTCGCGTGGGATAAAATCCACCGCCTAAGGTAACCACCTGTGTTGTGGCTGTGAGTATGTTTTTTTGTTGATACATTTTTATTATATTTCGTGCCACTGTAAAACAGTAATAGTCAGTTTATATTCATATTCATTATAATTTATATTCATTTGTATACTTTGGCCGACTGAGGCATACTTATATTAATTGTGCTAATCAAGCACCTTATAAAAAATTGCACTTAAAATTATATTCATGTGCTAATCAAGCACTTTAAAAATTATCTTTTTGTATTATATTCACATGTTTTAATCAAGCACTTTAAAAATTATATTTTTGTATTATATTCATGCGCTAATCAAGCACTTTAAAAATTATCTTTTTGTATTATATTCACATGCGCTAATCAAGCAAATGATACATATTTATATTTTATATTATATTCATAAATTTATATTATAGTCAAATCACGCACATACGTTTATTAGTTGTTTTTTATTTATTATTTATACTTCATAGTGTGAAAGCGCACTCGGTGTTATATATTTTTACTATTCATATTAACATTGAACGCTAGTAGCGCCAACAATTACCATTGATTAAATATACATAATATTGCCTTGATTAATTGATTGTATTTTATTTAAAAATATATTAGGAATAGACATGACAACTGAAGAGAAACTTACTATTTTATCATTTGATGAAATGTATCTATCTCACCAGATTGATTTCGACCGAAAGAAGGAACAAGTAATAGGGCCACATAAATCAGTTCAAGTTGTTATGGCCAGAGGACTGATATCAAAATGGAAACAGCCTATTTTTTATAAATACGATACACCATTGACATCAGAAATCTTATTTGACATAATTGAGAAATTACACGAGGTTGGATTCAATGTTGTCGGTGTCGTCAGTGACATGGGGCCAACTAACCAAGGATTATTAAAATCAATTTCAGTTTCGTATGAACAACCAAACTTTAAACACCCAATTACAGGTCAAAGGGTACATGTTTTTGCTGACATACCATATCTCATAAAATTATGCAGAAATAATTACCTTGACCATAGTTTCATTCTGAAAGACAATGAAAATGAAACATTTATTGGTATTAATACACTAAATGAACTAATGGAAATTAGCACACAGGATTTAAAATTACCATATAAGTTATCTCACAACCATTTAAATTGTACTGGACCAATGAGACAGAAAGTGAAATTAGCATCACAATTGTTTTCAAACACTGTAGCAACAGCTGTTGCATATGTAGGACAAAAGGGAGCTATATAAAATTCAAATTTGAAAAATGAAAGTTCACTTCTATAGTACTAAATATTTGATTATAATTATATTTACATTTTTTTGTTTTTAGGTATCTGAAACATTTTAAACCATTGACCAGTGGTTTGATTTATTCAATACTCAAGTACCAAGAACAACTAAGTGTCTTGCATATGGGCTGGACAAAGACAATCAGGATGACATATTACAGAAAATGGACAAACTTATGTTAACTATGCGTGTTTATCAGTCTAAATCTCCAAGGAAAACTTTAATGCCCTTTCAAAAAGGAATTCTTATGAGCAATAACTCCTTAAGGAATTTATTTGCAGACATGAAAGAAATGTATAACATAAAATACATTATTACCAGGCGTCTTAATCAAGATGTATTGGAAAATTGTTTTAGTTTTTTGCGATTAATGGGTGCAGCCAATACACACTCAACACCTTTAAATTTTCGATACAGGTTAAATTAATTAATAGTAATCTTATAATAAAAAAATGTATGTAAATAATCTAAACCAATTGTAATATTCCTAATTTACTGTTTTAAATGGTAAGTATACAAGTAAGTATAAAAGCAATGTTAAAAAAAATTTGCTTTTTTACTTGTTTAACATATTTCCAGGCTACGGTGGTACATTTTGGGGAAACATAGTAATGCTGTTTTTACATCGAATAGGAATACAGAAGAAAGTCAATCTGAAGAATGCCTCATTGATTCAAGTACTGTTTTTGTCAGTGACATATTGAAAGAGGCAGATATTACTTGTGAGTCTGAAAATAATGAAATTAATAAGACATTCATATGTTACAGTTAAAGTGTTGAATCGGTTAGTTTATGAAATAACTAGATAGTTTATAAAATAACTAAAACATGTAGGTAATGTATATAATTTATATTGACATATTGTAACTAGTTATTTTATACATTCCCTAGCATCACTTCGTTAATGTGTCAAATTGTACAAAATATCATGTACAATATCATTATTTTACTATCCAATATAATAATAAATCAGATAAGACAGACGTCCTTGTTGTCGGTGACCGCAAATTCATGTAAGTTTATCGTGTTATTATAAGATAATCGTTATTGGTATATGTATTATAAATTATAATATTATTAAGATTGTCAATAATATTGGTAAGGTTTAAAGTTTAATAATAGTTTTAAGTTTTCACGTGTTTACTGTTGGTTCGTCTGTCTCTACACTATATTATTTTAAGTATTAATATAGTTCACAATGAATTCGAATGAATTCGATTTAATGAAAGAAAGGTTTTATATTATAGTGTTAAAAATCTATTTAATGAAAACCAAATAGTGCTGTTTTAACAAAAGAAAAATATGTAAGTTGATGATAAACGTGAAAAAAATAAAAATAAAAAAGGAGTCTTCTCATGACTATTGGTTAGAAAAACATTGCGATATTGTAAAAATAAATATTAATACTACCAGTGAGTAGTCAAAATGAAAATGTTAAATTATATGTTATGATTGAAGAAATTTTTGATTATTTACATGAAATTAGTATTTGTATTGAAGACGGGGGTAAAGACCGCATGTAATATGAAATAAATAAACGTAATGAAAATATTACTCAATCTGATGTTAAGCAATACTTGGATTTGTGTATAATAATTATTTAATAATACTGTATTAGTCACTAGATTGAATATCTCTAGTAGGTATGTGATAATTTTTGTTTAGTAAACTGCTATAACTGGATTACAATTTTAATTATTTTTATAGTTTAATTTAATTTTATTTTAAAGTAGCCCTAATTACAATAAGATAAGCAGGTAATGTAATCATTTACATATTTAAATAAAGGTATTCATTAGTTTGATGAAAAATATCATTTTACTTTTATTCTGTAACTAGACTCGTACAAAGTGTGTGCGATATCCGTGTATGTCTGGTTATTAAGTGCTTCTATAAATTATAATTTTTAAATATGAATAACGTTGAAAAAGTTGAGTTGGTTTTAATTTATGGCGAATGTCAAGGTAATGAACGCCTGACTGCTTTAACGTATGCCGAACGATACCCAGAAAGATACCATCCACCTTCTAATTATGTCTTACGACTTTTACAAGGGTTAAATCAAGAAGGAAGATTTCCTGGCACACAAATAAACCAACAAAGGCGTAGAGCAAATATTTTTGGTGACGATGAAGAATTACAGGTACTAGCATACATAAGGGGTTATCCACGTTCGTCAATTAGGCATGTTGCTCGCGAAGTCCAAAAAATTCTAAAAAAGCACAAAATGCACCCATATAAAATCGATTTGGTCCAACATTTGCGTGCAGGAGATTCTATTCGTAGGTTGGAATTTATAGCTTGGTTCAATTCTAAATTGTATGATAACCCTTTAATTGTCAAATTCTTTGGAGTGATGAATCAAAATTCACTAACAATGGAATTATGAATAAACAGAATCATCGATACTGGGATGACACAAACCCACACTGGTCACGTGAAACTAATTTCCAAACGGTCTGGGGAATTAATGTGTGGTGTGGGTTGGTTGGTGGAAAGCTAATAGGACCGTTCTTTTATGATGGTACTCTTAATGGCATACGATATCTTAAGTTTTTAACCAACGAACTTCCAAGACTGTTGGATGATGTTTCATTAGACTCACGAGAACGTATGTTTTTCCAGCAAGATGGAGCACCAGCCCACAATGCAATTATTGTTAGACAACATTTAAATAAAATATTTCCAAATCGCTGGATTGGTACTAATGGCGTTGTTCCTTGGCCTGCACGATCCCCAGATTTAACGCCATTAGAATTTTTTTTTTATGGGGATATTTGAAGACTGCGGTTTATGCAGATCCACCTGTCAATCTTCGAGACTTAAGACACAAAATACAAACAGCATGTTATATTTTAAGTGAGGACTAAATCAAGGTGACAACTTCAACGGAATTTTTGAAACGACTGGAATCATGTTTAGAACATGATGGCGAAAACTTCGAACAATTCATTCGATAACCGTATTTAATAGATTTTATTTTTTATTATAATATTATTATTACTATTATCATTATAAGTTATAACTATTTTGTTGTACATTTAATTTATACAGTTGACAAAATATCATACACTAAAAATAATGTTTAATTATTTCACACTTGTTTTATTATTTCCAGTGGTTATAAAATATGAAAATAACATTAAACACGAATTATGCATAAATCCAATTTTTGACTTGCTCTAACTTGGTCAGTTTTGAAAATAGAAAAATACTTTTTATACAATAAATGTTTTTAAAAAAATATTCTACACGAATCTGCAGAAAAAAACTGGGGTTGCCTTTTAAAAAAAAGTAAGTTGTATTGCGCATGCGCGTACCGATATATTTGAAACTGGTCTGAAAATATGTATTTAAGTGCTCCTTATCACCTCCCGAAAACCCCATTTCAATAAAAAGACACCCATCTGAGTTATTCAGTGGTACCTCTTAGCGTGATCACACTGTATTATACCAAGATCCTTTATCTAGGAGAATCGATTTAAGGGTAATCATTATAGGCATACATGTAATGAAGAAAATTATATAACTTTACACTTGTCATAGTTGAGAATAATGCTAATAGCTTGACATTAGTTAACAAAACTATTGATGATGACTTCACAATCAATATTGGAAGATATACAAGAGAAAACAGTTTCGCATCATTGGCAAATAGAAGTAGTTGAACAGACTTGATGAAGATTGAATTAACAAAGAGGTTAAATAGTAGTGGGGATAAATGTTCGCCTTGTGGAACTTCAGAAGAAACCTTGAATTTATTTGATAATGTATTCAAACAACCTAACATATTTCCATCTATCTACCAGGTATGAGTGGATCCATGACAAAAAAGGATAACCAATATCTAAACTATCCAGCTTGTAGATAAGATAAGTGTATGTATTATAATTATTTTAGTTTATATATATTACTTTAAAATGTCATCGTTCAACCTATAAATTCTGCCACCTAATATTTACTTGAACCTGCTGCTGCCGTCAACCTGATTCCTTCTTAACTTTATAAAAAAATATATTTACATTTGATTTAATTAAATTACTAACGGTTTTATAAATAATAACTCAAGCATATATTATCTAGCTGATTCCGTGCACTTCGTTGCCCGTTAAACGTACTAACTCTATATGACCCAAACTTTGTTAAATTCGTTATTTAATATTCGATATATGGTGTTCAAAACATGTCTCAAATATTCCATTGCTGGGAAAAATATTCTTATTGTTCAACTCCTTTTGGGTGTAACAAACTGTGAAAGCAATTTATTTTTAAGTGTAAATGATATTATAATTTAACGTATATCTCGACCGGCGTTGTCCTTGAGATTCGCAGCAGTATACTATTAACAGGTAGACAATTTACTTGCGGTGTATCGCGGACTCTGTGATGTTTGTGCTTAAGTGTATAATTTAACTCTAAACTCTAAAGTATCAAAGTTATACTGAGCTCGTCGTTTTTTCTTAATTCCACCTAAGGAAATATAATAATAATATAATAATATAATAAAATATAATTATTTATTTATAATGATTAACGCCAATCGTCTTATATACAAAGTAATTACATACAAAATAATAACAAATTTAAATAACAATATTAAAATAGTTAGACATAATAACAGTATTAAAAATAGTAAGACGCCAAAAACCAATAATATGGTGAAACAAAAATAAAGGGCCCAACACGAAATTGTCACAAATTTTATAAATTGTATACACGCATCAGTCTAGGGAGGGGTGCATTGGCAGCATAGTTGGACCGATCTGTTTGTAGGTAGAACGTGCCCTGGTATCGAGTGTTGCAAGGAACATGGATATTAAGTTTCTCTAATAATCGAGGTGCATCAATTTTCCCATTTAATTGCCCAGAAAAAAAATCAGTTACTGTGTGTCTGACATCTAGCTGATAGTGACTCGAGACATAAAATATCATTTATTGGTTGATAGTCATGGGGTGGATGAGAAATGTTTAGGCAGTACCCAGCAATATTCAAAAACCTTTTCTGCGGTCTATCAAGTCTAAGTATATCACCAACGGTATACGGATACCAGACAATAGAACCATACTCTAGTACCGAGCGTATTAGCCCACAATTGAGCACTGAGAGGCATTTTGGAGAATTGAAACTCGCAGAATGTCGTCTAATAAAACCAAGTATGAGCACAGCTTTGCCTACTATGTGATCAATGTGAGGACGAAAATCTAAAGATGGGACAAAAAGGAAACCTAAGGCAATAATTTTGTCAACACGATCCATTGAGAGGATAGTCAAACATTATTATATTTCTAGTACGATAGAATGACATAACTTTGCATTTGGTAATATTTAGGGAGAGCCCAACAATGTCGCACCAGATTGTTAGTTTTACCAGAATTCTTTGAAGTATTTGACAGTCTTCCGTGGACGACACTGTGTGGAATATCTTAGCATCATCTGCAAATAACAGGACCCTCGCTGGAGAAATGACCGAGCAAATAGTTAATAAATATATTAAATAGCAGGGGGCCTAGATGACTACTTTGGGGAACACCTGATAAAACTTTAAATGATTTAGATTTCATACCAAATAATTTAACAAATTGAACTCGATCAGACAGATAAGATCTCAACCAGGTTAGGAGTGGGTCACCAATTCCTAACCGATCCAAGACATATATCAGTGTATTATGATCAATCGAGTTGAAAGCTTTTGAGAAGTCTGTGTAATAAATAATAATAATATAAAAATAACATAATAATATAATAATATGATAATAATATAATAATAATATAATAATCTTATATATATAAAAATCTCGTGTCACGTCTTTGTCCGGGATAAAATCCGAAACTGCTGGACCGATCTTGATGAAATTTTTACAATATGTGTAATTTGGCAGAACTTATAAGATAGGCTAATTTAAAAAGGAAGGGGACCAACCCTGGAGTTGCTCAAACGGGAATTATGAGATTTCAGGTGAACATTTTTGTTTATAAATATTTGCCATGAGTGACGTCGTATAAAATGATGTGGCGAATTGTCGGTACGACGGTGGTGTAAGTCGGACGGTTGTCGAACGAGAGAGAGCCGCCGACGGCCGGTACTCGTTTTGCGCAACTGGCCTTCCCATCCCGCCTTGTGCTTTTGCGGCGTGGTGGTAGAGTTTGAGTTGTCGCTCTGTCCTAGCCCATGGTGGCGGTTGACAGAAATGTAGGCCGGTCACTGCGATACCTGTACTTTGTACTGGTCGCCGCTGTCTACCGTGTCATACTCCCCCTCCAAACCGCCACACGGGGTACACTTGTAATAGTGTCGGCGTGCCGTTACTGGTCGGGGTGGCTTGTACCTCTGGCTTCCGCTTGTGGTAGACTTTCCCACGCCCGTGGGTGTGTTTATGGGTGTTTCCGGGACCCGAACGGAGAGAGGACCTGGTGGTCGTAGTCCATCTCCATCAGCTGCTGACACTTTTTTCGGTTCCGCGCCAGCTGTGCCTCTGTTTTCACCTTTACCGTCGGTGGGAGGGATACCGTTGTCGGCTCCTCGGGCGTCACTGGGGCAGGTGCGGTTACCGGCGATAATGGCCTGGTCACTGACGGTATGCGGCTGCTGAGTGTGGATACTGTCCGTTGTGGCTACAGCCTTCGCTGGATGTCCGCCGTACGGTCCGCCCAGCCCCAGTTGTAGATGGCCCCCTGCACTGGGTCCTGTAGCAGGTGGCGGGTCGTCATCCTTGCGACCTGGGTGGCTGTTCGCTGCTCATCCTGGCCACTGGACACCAGTCCCAGTCGTTGGATCAGGTTGGCCACCTGCTGCCTCTTCTCCTGTTGTTGTTGGCCGTACAAATTGTCTGTAAATTACGGTTAGTACAGACAATCGTTTATTTAATTTTTCCCTGTGGGTGCGCGTTTTAGGCAAGACATATGTATTTTACTCGGCGGTTGCTGGTCGGTAAGAAATCTTGATCTGCTTTGCTAGCCTTACCGGTCCTGGAACCCGGCATGAAATCTTTATGTGCCTTCGATATATTGTGTGCTTTGTATAGTAGACTAAGTCGCCCTTGCTGAACTTCACCGGTGTGCCGGTGTTCCCGTATGGTTTTACCACTACTTTTTTGCCTAAAATATGTTTTTCCCGCTCTACCCTCTCTTCCTGTGATTTTCCGATGTGAACCGGCACAGCCTTAGACAGTATCCAATCTTCGGGTCTCTTGCATTCCCTGCCAAGGACAAGGACCGCGGATGGGTAGCATGTCTGTTCGTTGCAAATGTTCCGTATCGAAAATAGAATTGAGGGTTATTTTGTGTCCCAAGATTTATGTTTTCTGTCGATAAGCTGTGCGCGTAAACCTTTTTTAAAATCTTGATTACGGTGTTCGACTGGGTTGGCGCCCGGGTGGTAGACTGGAGCCGTCCAACCCTGTGCTCTCAGCGTTCTAACGCATTTATCATTTCGTTTTACACAAACTGGGACGTTATCACTGAGACACACGCTGGTTTAACCGAAACTCGAAAAGAACTTGTTTTCTAACGTTCGATTATTGTTTTAGAGGTTGCTGTTCCTAAGGGGTAAGCCTCGGTCCACCTACCTACTAAAACAGTCGGTTGCTACCAGTATGTACGATTTTACCTTACCGGAAAGTGGGTATGGGCCCATTAGATCGACACTGGTAACTTCCCATGGTTGCCGGGGAGTTCTTGTTTGCATTAGGTCGTTAGGACGCGAGTGGTTTCGTGCACGCGCATACGTGGCACGCACCGATAAATAACCTGACGTCGTTCTTTTGACCTTTCCAATAATACCGTTGTCGAACCGCCCGGTAAATCTCCTTCGGTGGAGAACTATTCCACAAGTTGCATAAATACAAACACGGTTTTGCATAATATTAAATGCAAGGTAGCCATTCCGAAAACAAAATATATATTATTGTAACATAATATTATATTAGAAATAACTTTGAAAGGCTGGGCAAGTTAACGATTTTATTTAACTCGTGATGTTAAGTTATTTTTTGAAAATAACTAAGTTAAATTAAGTTAAAAGTTACTCGTATACTTTTCGTATAATTTTCGATTTTGAATGCCCATGCTAATGCCAACGAGGATTTCAATCACCCTATCCTATTGCCAAACTCTGAGTTATCACAACTTTTCTCGTTCGCCATTTCCACATAAATTATCTTCACGCCGGACCTCAACTGGTTCCTTGATCTTAGGTGCGCGGGTTTTTATCATATCGAGTAGCTCCGTCATAAAAAATATAATCTTTAAGTGTGTACCATGTGCAACAAACAGAGCATCCATCCCATCGCCCGTCATGGGAGACCTCCCTAAGTCACGAGTTCAATCAGTACGACCCTTTAGCAATGTAGGCATTGATTATGATGGCCCTCTTGTCATAAAGGAAGGAAAACGTCAAAATGCTCGAGCAAGTAAGTGTTACTTAGCAATTTTTGTGTGAATGGCAGTGAAGGCACCTAACCATGTAGAGGTTGTGTTGGATCTATCCACTTATGCGTTCATTGCCGCACTGCATAGGTTCGTTTCGCGCCGTGATGTTCCGATGAACATTTATTCTGATTGTGGAACGAATTTTCGAGGTGCTAGCAATGTTTTACATTCTCATCTACAAGACCCATCTGCTCGGGATCTTTTTTCAGCTGCCATACCATGTCAATGGCATTTCAATCCTCCAGCTGCCCCTCATTTTGGAGGGTTGTGGGAGGCATCTGTTAAATCAGTGAAGTATCACCTAAAGCGAGTCATTGGAAGTCAATTACTTACATTTGAAGAGTTGAACACTTTGACACACCGAATTGAAGCAGTCCTGAATTCCAGACCAATCACCCCCATGTCCACAGATCCGAATGATTTGCGTGGTCTCACTCTTGGCGATTTTCTCATCAGTTGCCCCATATTTGCACTACCTGACCCAGATGTAACTTCAACGCAGATCAATCGTCTAACGCGATGGCAGTTATTGAAATTCAAGCAAGTGAATCTGAGGGTCGGAGATCTAGTATTACTGCGTCGTCCGAATGTCCCACCCACAATGTGGAAGGTGAGACGGATCGTGAATACTTGTCCAGGGGACGATTGAGTAGTCAGAGTGATGACCGTACGAACACAGGACGGGATATACAAACGGCTAGTCGTCCAATTATCAATCCTACCTGTTGAAGATGAATCAGACACTCACAACTCATCCATATGACCCTAATTACGATTTTCATCTCTCTTTCTCCTTAAAAAAACTTGTAATTAGATTGGTACATTAATTTTAAGTTTAGTAAATAAGTTTCTCTGCAAATCAGCGTCAGAACACTAACTCTTCATTACACACCTCAACCCCTGGACACCATTCTTGTTGGAAGTCTACGTCTTCCAAGGGGGGGGGGACTATGTTGCCGCTACTCACAAAATCATGATAACGTCGGGTACGCCACACCAGACGACACTGTCCGCCGGATGGTCTCACGATCCGTTTGTCGTCACGTGACAGCACTTTATCACCGTCAGAATATCTCTCCGTGATATAAAAACATAATATCGCTTGTTTTTCAAACGTTCGTTAACACATGTGTGTTCGTCTTTTTCCTTTTTTTTTTATTTTCTTCTTTAGAGAAATGTTAATATTTGAGTGTTATTCTTCGCCGCGTATTTTTGCGACGAGTGCGCGTATTATTCGCCATTGACACCATCATTGTGTAATTAGTATTTACGAGTGCGTGTTTTGTGCACCATCGTGTTCATTAAAGCTATTATAACTGCGTGTATGCGTTTTTCATTCATTCGCCGTCGTGTAAGTGACATTACCGGTCAACGGTCTCGAAGACACTTCAGTCTAATTAACGACTATGTCTACACACTACTGGCACCATCCCGTTATCCTTCTCTCTCCAGGAATCAGGTCAGATGATACAAGTGTTATTAAATGTATTAAAATAAATCATTAATTTAATTAATTGTGAGCCCGATGTCGGGATTTGATACAAAATATCAATTGTCTCCCCTCCTTCCCTTATTAGTTAAGGTTCATATTGTCTGCCAAGCAGGCAGTGATTGTACTACCAAAATACAGTCCACTTAAGTTATCATAAAAATTGCCGTTGTAAATCTTTTCCGCCCCTCACTCACGTACTAGGCAATCATCCTATACCGTCCAGCGTATCCTAGGATTTGCCTGTGCGGATACATAAGTGCGCATTTCAACTGTCCTGATTTGATTGTCCTTAATCGAATCACCTTGGGTCTGCCTTCCTCTCCGTTACCATCAAATGTGCGAACGTGTTATGAACATTTGGCGTTGGCAGATTCACAAATTGATCGCCCTGCGAAAATCGACATGCTTATCGGAGGAGATTTATTCCCTCATCTCATCCACTCTGAAGCTGAGATCAAACATACTCAAGGCTTTCCGTCAGCGATGGACACGCATCTTAACTGGATCTTGATCGGGACCGTATCTGCACAGGATCGGCAGTCGTCGCCTTTGACATCGTTGATAGCCAGTTCGAACCCTTCCATTGACGCTCTGATGCGTCGATTTTGGTCTATTGAAGAGCCAGGAACACCGACTTTGCCTACGACGGAAGATGAAAGTTGTGAACGATGGTTTGTGCAAACAACTTCAAGGAAGTCAGAATGTCGCTTTTGTGTAGCTTTATCGTTCCGAGACAGTGTTCGTGCCGATAATAACGTGCCTTCCCATGGGTTTGGGAACTTGAGGTCATTAGCTTTAAAACGGTTTTAAAATCTAGAACAACGTCTTAGTGAGGACTTCTAGCTATACGACGCATACCGCTCCTTCATGAAAGACTAATTGTCCCTTGGCCATATGAAACTTGCGTCAAGACCGGGTAAAACGGCCGGGTTTGAACGGCCGTCGGGACCAAAGTCTTCGGGTGATCACGACTTTGTGCACAAATACGCGAAACCGGTCGAAACGGCCGCGGCGGCTCGTTGATATTCGTAATCTTCAACAGTACCATTATTATTATTATTTGTGTACGACGGTAACCACATAGGTGCCATACTAGTACCCTGCAATAGTGCAATAATTGAATTATTATTATTATGTATTTGTTGTTTTTTTAAGGTGACCCTTTTTGTTGCGGCCAAGTTTTTACGCCAGTGTGGGCTTTTCTTGGTCATAAATTAAATATTTCTTTACCATAATATTACAAAAATAAATATACTTTTTTCTTCACCCATCAAGTATATGTTCTTATTGCTTTTCCCTATTTACATTATTATTTTATGAATCCCACACACTCCGATTTCCAAATCTCGGCTGTGGGTTGGCGACCTTCCCACTCAAGTTTTTCGTCAACGTACGCTAAACGCCGAATCCGGGTAAGCCATCGGGTGAGACGTTACATTGGCTCAGTTAGCTCCCTTCATAGAATCCTCCGGTCTAATCCAGGTAGGAGGACGGCTTCAAAGTTCCTTTTTGACGGAAGAGGCGAAGCATCTAAGTCTCTTGCCCAAGTTTGTCCATTTTTGTTTTCATCAGTGTCAATATTAATATAACGATAACTTATTGTCACCCATAATTCGTTAGTGTCGGAGACACCTTTGAATAAAACGTTAACCATAATTCAACCACACTTGTGTTCATTATTGTCTCACTATTGTTTTTGATTGGTTACCTCTACACACCATCCACGCGGAACCCCACAGGTCCGCATCAACTGGCTCCCCGAACAGGAATCACCGGTAAGTGAACATTTTCTTTTTCCTTTAACTTAACCCTTACTAAAAAAATCATAAATCCCCCGGTTGCGTGATTTGGAAAAAAGTCCCCAACGCGATCCGATGGTTAACAGGCGATAAAGGAAAAACCGGCGGAAAAAACATATTACATAACGATAAAGGACGGAACGATCGGCCGCGCCGTCCGTTTTACGGACGCACCGACTACACCGCGCACGACGCTGCAAACACACACGACGTAGGTACTAGGTAGGTAGGAACGCAAGAGCGCGAGGACACAACACCACCGCCCAGCACCACCACCCTCTCAACGTCATCACGCAATTACCCGGGACAAAAACACCACGTAATCCGACTGCCGCCCCCGCCGCTCAAAGCGACAGCCGCCGCCTTCCCTAATCGCAGTAGTGCACCGGATAACGCACACACACGCATCCGCGAAAACACTCTGCGAAGACCTGTTACTGTGATAGCCCAGCAAGCGCAATAACAAAACAACAACAACAACCCTCTGACCTACTTTCCTGTATGTACATAAACACGGATAAGCAATAACAGAGTTGATCAAAGGAACGCGACACCAGCCACATTTTATATTTTCCCGTAAACAACACCGGAAAAACTAATGGACGTCATGCCGGGAAAATATATTAATGAATTGACCGCAGCGGAATTACGCTACGAATGCAGGCAACGCGGGTTATCAGACACGGGTGAGAAGGATGATCTTGAAATCTGGTTAACCCAGCATTTCGCGGACCTGAACCTACAGGACAACGAGATCCAGTTTCCACCTATGGAAACCACTGGGCCGACCGGAAATAACCCGGCGACAGATCAGGTACCCGACGCCTGACAAACGGACAACAACGGGTCGAATCATCACCCGCCCTAAGTCCGAACAACACCACCAATAAACCACCCACAGACAGAGGACATGATCCAAACGGGTCTTATCTTAATTAAGGAGGTACTGCAATCGGCGGAGAGCTCGCAGCACGGGCACAGTCTGGAATCGCGACTGTCCATGCTCGAAAGCTGCATGGTCCGCTTTGGCGACAAAGAGACAATGCGATGTCTAGAAATGGGTATGGCTCGCCAAGCAATGGAACAACAACCGGATGGATGGAACACCACCAACCCGCTCCCACCACCAAGTGTTATCGGACAACACGGAATACGGAACGAGTTACCCCGCGACACGCGAACCGCCGTCCACGGGCGCTCAACACGCCGACCTTTCTGTACGTTTTGATGACACACAAAACTTATACCATGCCCCGTCCTCCACACACACCTACATGGCACAACAATCGACGCTGATACCGTACGACGACGTATGCGCAGCGAGACACTCGCTGCCGGAGTTTCACAGAAAAATAAGCGACGACCCGGTACGGTTTACACATAAAGCGGATAGATATTGTACCAAACGCGAATAGATAGGTCGGCCTGGACAAATATTAACGCACAGCAGCTGAAGGGTGCAGCCAGTACGTGGTGGAACACCATCAGACAACTGGACCTCACCTGGGATGAGTTCCTTGCCGAATTTTCAGAAAAATTCGACAACGTGGAAATTCAATCACGGCTGCGGGCCGAGATAGTATCCGCCCGACAAACAACCACGCAATCGCTAACAGAGTTCGTGACACAAAAAAATCAACTCGCACTCCACGTCAATACCGAGCTATGGGAAACACAGCTAGTCGGTACGATAGCCGGACTAACGCTCAACGAATACCGCACGCATATACGATTGCAAAGACCAGTGACATTCGGAGATCTCCACGCTGGAATTCTGGAACACACACCAGACGAAATGGCCACACAACCACAGCTGAAACCGGCATACAAAAAATTTGCCCAAACCCTCACGCCCCAACCGACGCACCAACCGCGAACATGGGACGGTACGGCAGGCAAACCGCAACCGCCCAACCCGTGCAGGTACTGTGGAGGTCCTCACTGGAACAGTGACTGCCCAGTGCCCAGGGAACACGCCGCGTTCCGGAAACGGGAAATGAGTAGTCGGACATTTGTCCACGCAGCCGCCTCAACCACACACACACACACACACACACACACACACACACACACACACACACACACACACACACACACACACACACACACACACACAGCCACACCACCACACACAACGTTCGGCAATACAGACGGCGATATAACCATCAAACGCGCATAGATAAACTCGGCGTCATCAGATATATCACCCGTCCAAAAAACAAAAATTCCGTTAAGGAGAAGGTCCTCATCACCACACACAACGACCCCTACTACGAAATTAATAGGTACTCATACGGTACACACCCATAGCCAGTGCTCGAATTGGAAATATAATAGAAGGGGTGCTAAAGGACTTTTAAAAATTTAGCGTTCCACTCAATGATTTAAACCAAACTAACCCGTGGGGGGCTTCGCCCCCCACACCCCCCATGAAGTATTTTCAACACAAATCAAACAATCATTAAAATTAAACAAAGGTTACACTACAACAATAAATAAATATTATTAAATTACAAACAAATCTTTTATTTTATTTTAAGATATTTTATACATTATTTAAATTTTTAATATATTCCATAGCTCTACATATGAATGGTTCTCTTCAATATTTTGAACTACATAGGTACTGTTTACAGTGTTACCGACCATCCGATAACATGAATTTTTAATTTTAATCTCGATATAATATACATTATTTATACACATTATTAGTATATCAGTATATGTAAGCCTGTATTATAACCACGGACTAAGATTTATAGTCTGTGGTCAGTGATTATAATAATAAATTATCTTATTATATCTTATATATTTTGATTTTTATCATTAATGAAATTTACAATTTATCGCATATTTTGTTCAAATTGATAATACATAATAAATATCTATAAATAAACGTTTTATAAGTTTGTCAATAATAATAAATTTACAAAATAAAATTAAAAATATAAGAAGGGGTACGCTAAAAAAAATTAAAATTTGAAGGGGAGCTCCGTCCCCCTGCGTCCCCCCCCCAATTCGAGCACTGCCCATAGCACAGAGGTAACCGAAACGAATGCTCTGGTAATGGTGGTGCAAACCGCTCCCCAGAACACCGATAACGCGGTTAAGAACCAGTTACCCAGCTATAAACCACAACCAACGTCGAATAACGCTTAACGAGTATGCACCGACCAAATTCCGACCCCCCACGGTCGACCTTGAATTTAGGTCAGGCCCCGTAATAGCCCTAATCACAAGCACAAAAATCGTATGTAAGCCCGAATATTGCACATACATTTGGCAGACCCTAACACGGACAACCAACTCAGGTACGAATGGGGGATGGACACACTACAATGACAAATGGTACCTCCACATTCGTAGCCAGAATCTGAGACCTAACGGTCACCTTCAACGCAGCCATTCTGGACAATTTATACTTCGACATGCTCCTAGTTCACGACTTTCTCGTACAAAAACCACCGCACACGTGCGAAACTCGCCGAAGTAGTACGCAAATATCTGGACTTATTCAACGGTAGGGTAGGACGCACCAGAGTAGTATAGATTTGGCGGTTCTGGGACACTTTTTACAGGGAGATGAAAAAAATTCAAGCAGGAAAGTCCTCCTTGCAACACATTCGATCACCGTATAGGTAAAAATTCTAAAAAGTATGGTTGGCGGTTCTGGGACACTTTTTACGGGGAGATGAAAATAGCTCAAGGAGGAATGTATGCCTTACAGTGTAACCAATCTCCCTAACATTTTCTAGAGAAAATTCAAAACGGTTTTTAATATAATTTTCTGAAATAAATAAAAATATTTTTTTTCTTATCATTATATATTTATTTTTTAATCAGTTAATAGTATTTTACAACAAATATTAAATATATTATACAATTTTGATTTATTATTTACACTAATTTTCTTACTTCTCTAGTAAAAGGTACATATTCTACAATACGATCATGAATTAATAAACAATAAGCAGTTACACCTGTAAGCGAATCTGAAGCTTCAATTTCCAATTGAACATCCACTGCCGAGGCTGTGGCTGAATCGTTCTGTTTCGAAGTATCGATGACTATAATTGGAGCGTTTGTCAGAAAAGTAGAAGGACTCAATATCGGGTTACGAATACTTTTTTCATAGTACGATTCTTGAAATGATGTATACATATTATATAATAAGGTGAAATTATTTTTAGTAAAATCTAAATTCAAATTATCGTATGGATAAGCTATAGAGTTCAGAAATACTTAAACGTTTGTTAAATTACAATGGTCAAATATACTACAATCTTTCGTTAACAAATTTTTGCGTCCTTTTTGTAATCGAATTATGATAAATCGTGGTTTTTCTAATTTTGAAGCAGTTTTCAAATTCCATACAACTTTTTTAGTGGTTCCGTGTTCAGGATAGAATTCAAAAGTTTCAAAAGATCTAAAAGGGATAAATAGACTTTTTTCTTTTTCTATAAGTTTCAATATTTTTAACCTTTCTTCATCGTCAACAGTGATATGTGGGACCTTCCAGACTATTTTGTTTAAAACGACTTTACCTTCAGTAGCAGTTGAACCAATTTTACAACTTATAGCATTTAAATCGCTATGACTTCGAGTTAATATTAATTCCAATCTAGAATTCACCAATATTCTTTTATTGTCTTCAAACAAACCTAACCAATATTTTAATGGAATGCAAGCACTAAATTCACCTTTGTCATTTTCCGATTGCGTTGCGTTTTTAAAATTTTAGCCATTATTTTCATAGCAATTGTAGTTGTCTGGTGTACCGGATAAGTATCGTTTCAACGAGCTAGTGATTCCAAGAACACGTGTGCTATCTACTTCTATCCCATTGATTTCCAACCGTATTTGCTCAAAAAGGTAAGAGTAACCGTTATTAGATAGTTTCACTTTGGTAGCATCAATAATATTATTCCTTACAAAAAAATAAAGCTTGTGTAGATATGGATAGACATCCTTTTGCTGGATTGATATACGTATTTCATCATTATTATTAAATGATGTTGTATACGGTGCGTATGAATGATATTCAATTTTTGTAATTTTAGAATCCGTTTCTTACTGTGAAGTTATATCCAAAATATCACTTTCTGGCATTCTGCTTTAATTGATAACCCGAAGCTTGTAAATTTTTTTTATCTTATTTGATGTTGCTGGTAGCACTTTAGTCTTATGACTAGTTGTGCTGATCCGAAGTAGCGGGTTTATATTGAATTTCAACCCCATATCAAGACCCGTAACGTTTAATATGTAACACGATTGTCAATGCCTCACCAAAATTATCAATCGGATTATGATCTTGATCAACTAATTGAACGGTTATATATATATAAAATATCAATATTTGTTTTATTCAATTTGTAATATATTAAATTTGGTGGTGACTGAATTACTTTCGATCCTGTCCTTTCACTCGGGAAAAACTCATAAATCGAATGACTCTGAAGATTGTTGTTGAATGATCCTTGAGTTATATTACACATTACTTTTATAGAATTAATTGTGTTTAAATTTACAGCTTTTTCCGATCGAAGAATTTCAAAGTATGGCTTATATACTCGTTTTTCAAAACCGAATACAGGTGCTATACTATATGAATACTCAAAGTGTAGTATCCCATTACATTTTATATACGATCTGAAATCATTAGGATCAACCGTAATGTCGAATGTTAAATTGGTTAAATTTTTACTATTATAGGCATTAGGGTGCTCCTAGTCTATTAGGTATGAATTTCTAATTATGTCTTTTCTTAAATTATACTTTTTAATAATATTTGAATACACTTAAAAACGATGTACAAAAAGTTGCATGTGAATTGAACAAGTTAAACCCGTGCCACAAAAGAGTTGAAATTGTCTATACCTATTTTTTTTTATGAAAATAGCATATTTTTCTTAGATTTTAAACATAGTATATTAAATAATGATTCTATACAAAAAAACAATAATACATAATTTGTTAAGAAAAATATTTTATATTATTTATAATCTTAAACATTTTTTCATAAACTTAATATTTATCTCGAAAATTATATTTTAAAAATAATAATTACACAAATCTTGCAAAAAAAAAAAAAAAATATTTATTTTGTCGATAAGTAAATATTAACATTAGACTATTAGTAAAATATTTGTTGTTATAAAATTACGCTAAATATACCAAGACACCGATAATGAGACAATATTCATATGATTATTATTTCAACGGTATTTTCTAATCTAAAGTTTGAACATTGAACAGACCGATAAGTAATATTGTGACCGTCTGTTAGTAACTATTAGAGTTGAACACTAGTCTACACTCTACAGTCTACAGTGCTATATCAGTGTATCACAAACCCGATTGCCACCACATATTAACTGTTTATTGTTAAATTATATTTAAATAAAGCATTTGTTATTTTTTTGTGTTTAAATTATTATAATGGCTTCAAAAAAGAGTTTACGTAAAGATTCTTATACATTTTTAATTGGCTATACATCAAATCAAATTGTCGGTAGCAAATTACCATCTATAAGACAGGCGTTATCGGTTCTTTTTTACAACATGCGTGAAGTTCACCTTAATTTAAACGAAAGTGCAAAATTAGTAATAAAAGAGGTAAGTGTTTTTTGGCAAAAGGCACGTATACCGGTTAGTGCTGAACAATATTGTGCCATAAAACTTCAAAAATTATATAACGAATGGAGAAATTTATAAAAGTTGCAGTATAGAAAAACAGACACACAACTTAAAAAAAATGAAGAATTTAGCATGATATTAGATGATTTATTTGACATTGCTCAAGCTGATGCTCTTGAAGTTATAAAAATAAAAGAAGACAGAGATTTTCTAATATCACAGAGGCAAAAAGGTCGTCCAGGATCCATGTTGGGGATTGATCTAAAAATAATTAATAAAGAAAAAAGAGCCGAGGAAAGATTAAAAATTATTGAGGAAAGACGAAAAAGAACTTATGAAGAATCGGAGATCCACGGTCAGGAAAATAATTACATAACTGTGAATATTATGTATTAAATTTATTATTTGTATTTATTTTTTGTATATATTTTCGTCAATGCAATTCTTTAAACGTTTCAAAATAAATACTGACTTTCTTACGACTGATCCATCAAAATGGAACGATGATGAACATTTTAAAAAATCTACTGCAATTGTCACCAACATAAATGTAGTCAATGATATTGCTGAAAGAGGAGTTAAACTTATAGAGGAATACAATACAAAAATTACCAATGATGAAACTCAAAAACAATATTTGCTCCAAGTTGTGTGTGACTACCGCAATAAATACCCAGACTCCAAGAAGAGTACTATTTTACATAAGAATGAATTAAATGACTGTAAACATAACAAAGCTATTTCTGAGTCCTCGTAAAGGTTAATAGGTGGAAAATAATTTACAGATAATATGGTAGCATTCCCAGTTAAACTAAAAGTAACTGACTCGTACATTACAGAATCTAAGATATAAATTTAATGATGAGATCCGTGACGTTTAATATGTAGAACAACTGTTCACGTCTCGTTAAAATTATCAATTGGATTATTGTTTTGGTCAACTAACTGAACAGTAATTGAATTAATATCTGTTTTGTTTAATCTGTAATATATAAGGTTTACCGGAGATTGAACAACCTTTGTTCCTGTTTTCCCACTCGGGAAAAACTCATGTATCGAATGACTTTGAAGTTGGTTGTTGAATGACCCATGTGCTATATTACACATTACTTTTATAGAATTAATTGTGTTTAAATTTACAGCTTTATCCGATTGACGATCTTCATGAAACGGTCCACAATCTATCTTTTTAAACCCCAAAACAGGTGCTATACTATATGAAGTATTAAATCGAAGTATTCCATTACATTTTATATACGTTCTAAAATCGATAGGATCCATACGTATACTGAATGTTAGCTGTGTTCCGTAGTCGTTATTAACTTGGGATAACTCTTTTGCCATATAATTGTTAATATCTTCTATTTCATAGCATCCGTCTTCCAAACAAAATTCAAAAACGTGAAAGTCTTTTTTGTTTGTCCTTGGAGGAATTGTTTCTAATTTCAACCAGTTATTAGTTCTATTTATAATATTTGGAAATGAATTGAACGTTTTCAAAGATAACAAAGCTATTTCCGAATCCTCGTAAACGTTTAGAGATGGAAAATAATTTGTAGATAATATAGTTCAATTCCCAGTTAAACTTAATGTAATAGATTCATACATTGTAAAAATTCAAGGCATAAATGACCACGGTTGAACGTATTGAAATCTTGATAGTTAGAATAGTTGTATACTATTTTGAACCGTCTGAAATAATGTTGTAATTCAATTGGTGGTGGTAAATCACCAAAGCTATCAAAATATACAACTTTGTCCTTATTTTTATAAAACGCTACCCAATGACTTCCGTCACCTGAAGATATATCCAAGTTTAATATACCACATTCAATCGTATGCGGTTTTTTAGGTAAGTTATCACGTGAAAAGACTCCACGGAAATGATTGATTTTAAACTTTTCAACATATTTTATAATATCTTGGGACGAAAGCGGTCTGTCAGGTAGCGTGATCATCAGTTTTTTATTCTTAACCTATTCTTGTTTGATTTCAAATCACTGCCTTTTTTTCTTTTTGAATTTTGAACCGCATTATACACACTAGCACCTCCAGTCATCAAACTACCAAGTGCTGACAATCCTGCAAATATAGGTACTAAGGGAATTACACCTCTTGACTGTCCTGGTGTTAAAATCAGTCTCTTTCCGCCATTCTTTTTCTTTAACGTTCTTATTTTCTTCGCTGCTAGTATATCATTTATTTTTATGGTACGGTTCCGTTTACTTTTACAACCCATATCTATTTTTCTTTTACCTTTCATTAGTATTTATAGGGAAGTTTATAAAATGCTTTATCAGTCTTGACTGATTTATACTTACGAGTTGAACGCGTTATCTATAACTGATTATAAATTGGAAATTATAGAGTATTTATAAGAAAAATGGATTTGATTGAACAGAAAGATAAATTAGATGTTATAAATGTAGATGCTCGGATAGTAAAAAAACTGTCAAGACAAGGTTCGTTATTACCCGATACTATACGTGCCATACTAGTTGGTCCCAGCGGTTCGGGAAAAACAAATATAATGTATAATCTGATCACACATGAAAATGGGTTAAGATTTGAAAATATTTATTTATACTCTAAGACTTGATGATATAAAAGGTGCTAATTTTTTCATATTTACAAGTGCTGAAAAGGTTATAAAACCAAACTTGACTAAGAAAAATTCTATTATAATTTTTGATGATGTGATATGTGGTCCGCAATCTGTAATCAGAGAATACTTTAGCATTGGTAGACATTCAGGTGCTAGATCTGTATTTTATTTAGCACAATCATATTTTAAAATACCGAAACAGTTAATAAGAGATAACGCAAACTTTTTAATGATACTGAAACAAGATGATACAAATTTACGACATATATTCAACGATCATTCGTCTGCAGATATGGATTTCTCAGAATTTCTCATTTATGTTGGAATCACTGTGATTATGGTTTTATGGTTATCGACGAAACTCGGGAAATGAATGAAGGGAGATATAGATATGGTTTTCATACGTTTATTAAAATAAAATAAAATAGTATTGTATTATTTCAACATACATGTATAAGATTGTACTGAAATTAGTTGTTGTTAATTATTAATTTTCTGATATTATAAACCATTTAATAGAGAACCATATAAAAATGTATCCTTAATATTATTTTAATAAAATACTATATATATATATATATACCGTAACACAGTTATTATTTTCATAGTGTAACCAGTAGTCATACGATACAGTTATATTACACTTTTTATTTACAATGAACAAAGAAAAAGCTTTGTTGAACAATTTAATGACATAAAAAAAAAATATTAAACGAAAAATAATGGAAATGAAACGTGGTGTTATAGATTCTGAAAACTATTTCCGTGAAGAATTTAACCAATAATTTATCCATTGAGTACACGCATAGAAAAAAATAGTTAATGTAACTCGCAACAAGCTGATCAAAAAAATATGGAAACCTCGTGCACTAGTGACGAAGATGATGATAAATTAAATTCATAATTTGAAAATTTTATAAATAATGAAAGACCAACATCACAACGTTACGATAAATCCTATGGCATGTATTATGATAGAACTAGTGGCTTATACAAAATAGGAGATAACTCAGTGACTTTTAACCATGGTAACTTACAGTTACTATTAATAAATACTATAAATGGACTGAAGGACTTTATTGTGTGAGAAAGTACCAACAAATTACACTCTAGAAGATACAGAATCTTATTATAACATTTTGAAAGCATCACGTGTTTATTTAAAAGCAGATGGAAAACCTAAAACCTCAAGATACTTTAAATGGGTACAAATTGTAAAACCTCTGTACGAACGAATGCAAAATAAGGAAAAACAGTTAAACGAAGAAATAGCTAAAATTTAAACTCCACGATTTAACTTAACACCAATTGACAAACATTTATCGAGCTATAAACGTAGTAATGTGGTTAATAATACAACAGTAACAAATGAACCATTTAATTTTGATCCCGTAGCCAACAGTTCTATGGTTATAGAACCTGAAGCTCAAAATATGTTTAGTTTTACTTCAACATCACAGACTAATAAGTCAGGTTCTGGTTTATATAAAGATGTCTTACCTCAAACCCAATTAGTTTATTATGACAATCCGAATGAACTAGTAACTAGATTAAATCTTTTAACATCATCACAAAGTGCTGGTAATACTGGTGTTAATAATGAAATTATATCTATTTTAGAGGAACTACGTGAGAGAAATATAATAGTATAATGACAACTTTAGAAAATATAGCTGACGAGTTACATCAACCAGCGAGAAAAATATTTTCTAGACGTAGTGTAATAACTCGATTTAAAGATGATCTTTGGCAATCTGATTTAATTGATATGCAGACACATGCTAGAAAGAATAATGGTTTTAAGTTCATTTTAATTGTTATTGACACATATTATACGAAATATCTTTGGTTTGAAGCACTGAAAAATAAAACCGCAAAGGAATGTACAAAAAGAATGATAAAAATACTAAAAAAAATCAACCAAAATTATTACAAACAGATAATGGTACAGAGTTTTATAACAACGAATTTCAAAGTATTATGAAAAAATATAATATTAAACATTATTCAACATACAGTAGTATAAAAGCTGGAATGGCTGAAAGAGTAATTAAAACTATAAAAAATAAAATGTACAAACATTTTACATCAACAGGTTCATGGAATTGGTACAATTCAATTTCAAAATTAGTATATGATTATAATAACACAAAACATTCGACAATAAAATGTACACCACACGAAGCTCGGACCAAGCCGATTACAATAAAAAGAAATATAAAACAAATTAATACATCAAAAAAATTTTAATTTAAAATTAATGATAAATTAAGAATATCAAAGTATAAACATAATTTTAGTAAAGGCTATACACCAAATTGGACAACAGAAGTTTTCACTATTTCTAAAGTTTTAAATACAGATCCGATAACATATCAACTAAAAGATAGTTTAAATAATTTAATATTAGGACCGGTGATACACGACTGCGGACGGTTCTTATCGGGGCGACCAGTGTTGCCATCCTATTTTATAAGTATATCGTAAAATATCTATAAAATTATCGTATCCAGCGTAAAAATTATCGTATAAAAAATTCGCTACGCTCGAAATGTTATAGAGAGGGAAACACCGTCATAACAATAAACAAAATTTGAACATTGCGCACATAGATAAGAATATACTATCACTATGTGAATATGTGATTATTGTGATTGCACAATGCACATTTAACATTAGCACATTTGCACAATTGCACTTCACGTCTTCACAAGTCTTCAACATTTAAATCAAAAAATGAGTGATGAAGATAATACACCAGGGTGTAGTACGCCAAAAAAAAAAGGATGAAGAGAGGTGGAGATTTGGCCCCAGAAGAAAAACCCAAACATCGAACTCAAAAATTCCGTTCGGAATGGTTAACTGATTGTGCTTGGATTGAACAAGATGCCGACGAGCTTAAAGCAAGGTGTAAATTTTGCAACGTCTCTATGGTTGCCGAATTAACTGTAATAAAAAACCATGGGAAAGGAAAAAAACACTCGAGCATTTTAAGTAACAGGTCAAAACAAAAATCGATGATGTGTCTTACATCGAAAACCCCGTCAGTTGAAAAGAAAATCAATAAGTCTGTGCAACAAGCGGAAATTAAATTGGCTGGTTACATTGCAGAACATAATATTTCATTCCTAGCTTCGGATCATTTGACGGATTTGTTGAAAGACATATTCCCCGATTCAGGTATTATATTTTTAAGCATTTGTTTCATTAAACTTACCTAAGGTTTTGAATTTGAAATATTTGAAATTGAACTTATACATATAATATAAACTTTTAGATATAATATAGAAATTAATATTTCAAGAAAATAAATGTCATGATATTTTAAAAGCATATACATATTTTTCTAATAATTGGATTTGCTAACATTATATGTATAAGACATGATGTTATGTATAAAAAAAAATGTTACCCAGCAGTGACATTTTGTAAATTAGGTATTAATATTCTATTATGTATAACAGATATTGCTAAATCAATGTCGATGAAGCGAACAAAGAAGAATGAACTTGCTAGTATACTAAAGGGTGTTCATTTCAGTTTGTTGACTGACGAATCAACAGACATCGCAACAGTCAAAACATCGTGTGTAGTTGTGCGGTATGTGTAACTTATTGATTATAATAAGTTTTCTCTGTAAATATTTTTGATCTCGATACTACCTCGTTAGGAATCAAGTCATTTGACTTACCTAACAATGTAAATTTTACTGTTGATGATGTTTATAATAAGTTATCTAAACTACATGGTAATTGGACTACTAGTCCGGATGGCTTATCCGGTGAATACTTATGTCAACTGAAAAATATTATAGCTTTCCCCCTATGGACTCTTTTTAAGCGTTCGCTTGACGAAGGAATCTTTCCTTCTATGTTAAAGTTCAGCTCTGTCACTCCTGTACATAAAGCTGGTGAACTGTCCAATGTATCAAACTATCGACCAATCTCCATCCAATCACATATCTCCAAAATTTTTGAATCACTAGTCATGCAATGTATTCAACCATCGATCAATAGAATACTTATGGAGGAACAGCATGGCTTTAGCCCTGGTCGTTCCACCATTACCTGTAATTTAGTCTTTAGTAATTATGTATACCGTTCGTTCGCCCAGAAATCACAGGTAGATGCTATTTACACTGATTTCAATAAGGCATTTGATTCAGTTAATCACAAAGCCCTAGTACAGGTCCTGAAAGCATCTGGAATTGGTGAATCTCTCTTGTCTTGGCTTTCGTCTTACCTTTCTTTCCGCTATCAATGGGTTAAACTGTATGGAGTGAGGTCTAACGCTTATCTAGCAACATCTGGTGTTCCACAAGGTGGACACCTTTCTCCGCTCCTTTTCTCTTTATTTATCAATAGTGTGTCAAGTGTTCTATCAAATAGTCGTATTTTGTGTTTTGCAGATGATATTAAACTCTTCTCCAGTGTATCCTCCTTAGATGACTGTATGTTGTTACAGATTGATTTTGATCGGTTCACTGAATGGTCCAATACTCTAGGCTTATCCCTTAATGTTTCTAAGTGTAAGACCATGACTTATACTAGAATTCGGACCCCTGTCAAATATGCATATCATCTTGGGCCAACTGCTATCGCATGCTCTAATGGCAGTGTTACTGATCTTGGGTTTATTCTTACTAGTAATCTCGATCCGAGTCCCCACATTGAACATATCTGTTGCAAGGCTTTTAGAACCTTGGGATTTGTATTGAGACTATGTAGAGACTTTCGATTAGGCTTATCCTTTAAGGTTCTTTATTGTACTCTCGTAAGCCCTATTTTAGAATATGGTGCCGTTATTTGGAATCCTCACGACAATAATGACTCTGTCAGGCTAGAAAGGGTTCAACCAAAATTCATGAAGTATGCTGGATTTCGTTTGAATATTCCATGTGAACCTCATAACTACGAACCAGTTGCTTCTCAGCTAGGACTGGTTTCCCTGGCTGAGCGTAGGCGGTTGGCGGACATCAAATTTTTAAAAAACTTATTACATGGAATTATCGACTCTCCTGAATTGCTTTCCTTAATCTGTTTCCGTGTTCCTCAACGTCCTTATCGATCTATCGCTCCTTTTTATGTCCCTTTTGCCTCCACAAACTATCTAAAAAATGAACCGATTTCCCGTATAATGAGTAATGCCAATGTTGACCCTTCGTGTCTACTTACTTTATAGCTGTTTTGTTTAATTAAATACTTTTAATCTTAAGTTTTATAACTGTATACAATGTCTATGAATGTAATGTGTAATTGTGTTAAAGGGTTTTATCCCGTATATTTAATAATAAAATAAAATAAAAAAAATATAATAATATCTGTGTGTACTTAATTGAGTATTCTATTGTTTTTAGGTATTATGATAAAAATTCAAAGCGTATTGAAAGTACGTTTTGGGAACTACATAATGTATTTAATTCAAATAACCCATCTTCGGCAAACGCTGAGCAATTATATGATGGGTTATTAAAAACTTTGCATGATTTTAATATACCATTGACAAATATAATTGGTTTTGGTGCTGATGGGTGTAATGTTATGATGGGGGAGCATAACTCAGTTGCTTCTAGACTACGAGACTCTTGCCCAGGCATATTTATAATGAAGTGTGTATGTCACTCTGCACACCTCTGTGTGAGTGAAGCCTGCAAATATTTGCCAAGGTCGTGCGAAGACTTGGCAAGAAACATTCACAATTTCCTTAAAAGTAGTTCCAAGCGTCAAAGTGAACTTGTTCAATTTCAAAGATTCATGGACATTGAACCCCACAAAATCCTTCACCCATCTCAAACTAGATGGTTATCGCTTGGTGCTGTAGTGTCAAGACTATTGGAGCAGTGGGAAGCACTAAAGTTATATTTTGCTGATGCATATTTGGCACAGCGGTTAATAGCAACGGAGCAAATTTACCACAATCTTAATGATCCGTTTATGAAACTTTTCTATTATTTCCTTGATTGGATTCTTCCGATGTTCAATAAGTTAGTATAAATAAACAGTGACTTAAGTATTGAAGATTAATTTTTTATCTTTAAATGCATTTCATTTTTAGATTTAATAGTTTTTTCCAAACCAAGGAAGTTGTTGTGAATGACTTACACGAGATGGTGGTTGAACTATATACCGAAATTCTTCAATGTTTTCTGAAAAAAGATTATGTATTCAGAACTCCATTAAATGACATCAATCCTAAAAATGGCCAATACCAACTGTTAAATAGCCAGCTATACTTGGGCATAAATGTATTAAGAAATAAAGATAAAGCAGAAATCGTTAATGATCCATCTCGTTTGAAAGATTTTTATGAAAAGTATTTTTTTTTATTATTATTATTATTAATTATTAGATTTTCTTTTATATAATTTTTTTATTTAAGGTGTAGACAGTTTTTACAGTCAGCTACTGTAGAAATAAAAAAACGATACAAAATGAACGACCCTGTATTGTCAAAGTTGAAAATGCTTAAACCCATCAATGCTATTTCACTAAGCTTCAGAGATGAAATACCATCATTAATGTCATTGATGACTGCTGTACCAAGAATTGTACCAGAGGATAACACACAACTCATGCAATCCATTGACAGCCAGTGGCGTAGACTGCCTCTTACATTAGTTGGTTTAAAAGAGGATATTGATATCAAGTATCCTGATTTTTTTTGGTAAATTTTGTTTTCATAACAATATGAAATTCCTATTGGTATGTAACATACTAAACAAATAACTGAATTTTTAGGTCATCAGTCAAACATATTGTTGACTATGACGAGTTAGCTGATTTTTCACTTTCGGTTTTAAGTTTACCACATGCCAATGCTGACTGTGAAAGGGTGTTTTCTACAGTTAACTGCATTAAGACCAAACAAAGGAATAGATTAAACACAGATACCATAAACGGGGCCCTTCATGCAAAGCAGCACATAAAAGGTGGAAAGGAAAGTGGTAAAACGTGCATTAACTTCCTACCAAATTATGAAATGTTTAGTCGAATGACAAAAAACATTTTATATCCTAAGACTGATGACAACAAAGGTATCACTGACAATATTTTTAATGTTTTAAGATTTGACGATAATGAGGAAGAAGACTAATGAAAACCATTGTGATAGTTAATTTTAATGTGTTTATAATTTTAAGTTTATCTAGTTATATTGTTTTATTTTACAAAATTGTTATTTTGTCTACAAGTTAAATGTTTTACCCGGCGACCTTTTTAATAACACGATTGCGAATGATTATTGGGAAAACAAATTAACACTGGGAGCGCTGTCGACGCCTATCGTACTGATGGTTGGGCGGGGTTCCCCCCTACATGCAGTCGGGACTCGAGTCGGGTTTCCGCGGCATTTCGAATACATTTTGCTTTAAGTGAAGTGAATTTGAACGTATTTGATAATATTAGTAGAAATTATATTTACCAACATAATATACAGTTAGCTATAAAAGCGTATAAAGTTTCCATAGCAAAATTAATTTATTATAAAAAGTAAAATAACCAACATAAAACTATATCTATACATCCCGAATTGGAAGGTACAAATTGTTTCCACCAGAGCGCGTTTTGTTAATTTGTTTCCCCAATAGTTTATCAGCTGACCCCCGAATATTACACTATTGCGGACACATGTTGCCAAATTTATAAATAATACTTCGATAATGTGGAAATGTGGAAATTCTGAGCGTATTAAGTTTAGTATGCAGTTACAATTCATTTTTGTTAAATACTGCAGTAATAGCTGCAACCTCGTTGTATATAGTCTATATACCTAGTGTATATTGTGTTTTTAAACTATGGAAGACTTTCAAATTATTTTATCAGAACGTTGTAAAGAGTTAGTTCTACACAAAACAAACAAATATCGATTCAGGCGGCAGCGGAAAGATGGAATTCTAAAATGGTTATGTAGGTACAAACAAAGTCTGTAGTGCAAGTGTTTTGACGACATCAGATAAAAAAATCGATCTGTGAATTTTCCGGCGAGCATATCTGCGCTGAAAACTCTGTACAAAAAATCGAGCGACAGATATTAAGGGAAAATTGTAAAAGAAAATGCGAAGAAGATTTATCTACTAAGCCGTTAAAAATAATAAGAACAGAACTATTAAATAATACAGTAACAGAGATAGTTAAAGAAGACATAAAAACTGTGAGGAAAACTATGTATGAGAAGAGACGAAAACATTACCCAACATTTCACATGAAGCAATTGATCAACTAAAAAATTTGCACGAAGACGATTTTTTTCAATTTAAAGGTAATCAATTTGTCCATGTTCACGATGATAAAAATATTATTTGCTTAACAACTTCATCAAATATTAATTTACTCGCGGAGAGCACAGAGTTCTTTGCAGATGGGACGTTTGATTATGCACCTAGATTTTTTTTACAATTATATACTATTCACTGCTACAAAAATGGATTTTACGTACCACTCGTTTATTTCTTTTTTTCTGATAAATCAAAACAAACATACATTGAAATGTGGAGGTTTCTTTTGAAGATAAGTTTGAAACTTTCAAATCGTAGTTTTGACATCAAACAGTTACATTTGGATTAATAATGTACTAATAATAGTTATATATTTAAAGATAAACGGAGATTCGCAATTGCGTACAGCATATAATAATCAAAATGACGAACTTGGTAAATGGTTAAAGTTGTTTTTTGGTTTACCGTTTATACTTTATACCATATCTGGAAGTTGAGACTGTTCTAGTCGGACATTAGTATGTTTCAACATGCAATAAAATGCAAATCCTGGAGCGGTCATGTAATGTGAAGCATCTAATTTAAGTGTTTGGAAACAAAGATCTCTAAAATTTTCAAAAACAAGTAAACAAGTAAACAAGTAAGCAAGTAAACATACATCGACTGCTAAACATAATAAGTCACTATATTCCCCTAATGTTTTTAAATTAAATCTTTTCCAAATCTTATGAGCATGTGTATAATCTTTGTCACTAATTTCTTCGTCTTTTAACGAATTATAAAAGGTTTGTTTTGACGGTAAACATGTTTCATTTAAATTATTAGGATGATCAATATATTCATAAGGAAATACACCTTTACGTGTAACTAAATTTAAAGTCGACAAAGAAAAATTTTTAAAGGTTTCCCTAAATCTAGTTTTGTCATGAGATAAATTATCAGCTAATGAACTAAGAGACTCTGACATAAAACGAAATGTATCAATAAATTTTATATTAAATTTATCTTGAATTGATTTACTAAACGATATATATTTTTCTGATGAATTAGGTATTACATGAACATCATTTTTATTACAACCAAGTTCACGAACAATGAAATGACTGTCATAGGCTAAGTTATGAAAGTATATCGGTAGAAACGAAACTTTACACAATTCAAAGTTACAATTTAAACAAACAACTAATCTAAAACGTCCTTTAAAATCATTATGATCTCTTACTTTAGTTAATTAATTTTTTTTAAATGATTTGAAACAGCATTCACATATTTTGGCATTTTGAAATTTAAGCTCTTCATCATTAGTTAATTTAATCATAGGTATATTGACTTGGTAAAGATTATAGACCCTTGTACCTATATCTATCATAGTCTTTATGAAATGTTTTGCAGCATTTTGATTTCTGTAAACATGAAGTTTCGTTGAATTTTATATTTTTTTATTAAATATTTAGGTATAATATTATAATATATTTTCACGTAATATGCATAACTCATTGGTTTATGTTTATGAGTTATCAGTGTTTTAATTTTACAATTTTGTTTGGTGAATTTAGGTTTTAAATAGCATTCAAAGTCAGAATAAATTACCATCGGTATTCGTTGAGTTCTTTTAAAATTTTTAAAATAAATAAAATCGTCATCACCGTCTTCAAAGTTCAAACATTACAGGTCTTCCTAGTTTGTGCTTCCCACAATTTTTTTTATGTTTTTTTAATCCACTAACACCCCACAATTTATATTTACAAGGAGTATTATTAAAAACTTTAAAACATCTTTTACATATAATTAATTTAGATTCATGTTTTGTCTTTTGTCTACTAATAAGTCTACTAAAGTTATTAATAAAACAATAATGCGATGTTTCACCACGATTAATCAAAAGCAGATCGAAATGATTTTTACTTTCAACATTATTCATATATAATGGGAAAACAACATTTGTATCATCTAAACTAAAAATATTAACTGACACATTATTTAAACGTTCAAATATTTTAATTTGTTTGACAGGTGTCGGATAATCGATACAGTGAAAATTTAAACCACTTTTCTTTTCGAGCATTTTAATATGTTTGTTATTAAATCGACTTTTATTTGATTTATTATACTTAGATAAAATTGCATATTTAAAACATTTTTCATCATAGTTTTTTACATTTATAACAGCTTTCTTATTACGTATTGAGTCAGGTAAGATTAAATAACTAGATCCTGTTAACGGGTTTACAATATTAATCCTTAACTGTAAGACATCAATTAAGTCTAAACTCCAGCCTGCACTTCCTCTGGTGACAAAGTCAGATTCTTCCTTAATAAGTTTATTAAACATTTTTTTAATACATTTTCGAAATTTGAATTTGTAAATGCCAACATATTTTCGGTTTTAAATGAAATATCTCGACGTTGCTGTGTTAACACATGCACGTAAACACAGTCGAGATACAAGTTAAATTTAATACTTGATTGCTGTGTCATTTTTTTTAATTTACAAACTATCATATCAAAACTGTAGTCAAAAAATTTGATAAAGTCTATAAAATTATAATAATTTTTTAGGACATACGTTTTTGAACATTTTTTAAACCGATTTAACTGAATGAGTCCGCTTCCAATTACGTTCATGCGTGTTTTTTTTGTTACTAAATTTCGCTGCATTTTACTGTAATTAAAAAAAATAAAAATCAAGGTTTTTTTTATTTATTCAAAATTAAATGTTTCAGCATAATATGAAGTATTATTACAAGTCTTAATCTAATTACAAATTATAATATGATTTAAAATAGTTAAGTTATGTTATTTAAATGTTTTAATACTAAGTTATTATATATTTTTAATGATTATTAATTATTTTACTTAATATATGATGATAATTGTTTTTTAAACATAAATAATTGAAAATACATTTTGTTAATTTTACATCATTAACTGCATCATGTATACAAATTATTTTATGGTTTTGTTTACAAATTATGTCATGAGTTTCTTTCAAAGATAATAATCTACCATTTTTAGTTATATAACCTAATTTATGGTTTAATATAATTTCATTACTTTTAAAATTAATTAATTTTAAATAAAATATTTTATTATTATCAGTATCATATACAGTCATATTCAACATTATATGGGTATTAAAACCTAATCTCAGTAAAATATTTTTGTCTGAACTACCATTCCATAGTAAAATAATTGAATTTTGATTATTAAAATTAAGATAGTTTTTTAAATAGTTTTTGGTTAAATTTGAAGTTTTTGTTTTCATAGCTAAATTTAATTAATTTAGTATAACTTGAAGCTGGTCTGGTTTCTTTTCAAAAATTTAGCAACAAATCTCTGGTTTTCAATTATGTATAATTATTCATTAATTGTATTCTTCCATCAGGTGATATTATTAAAGGTTGACCTCATATACGTTCAATTTTTGATTGCATATAGCATATGAGTCTGTGATAATGCTACAGAAATAAGTATTAAATCAGTACGTTGATAGTTTGTGAATTCAAAATCAATAATTATTATTTTATTTTTCGGTTTTTGACTGTAAATATAAAACATTTATTTACAACATTAGTATTATTTTCATCTATTTAATATATTATATATTTAAAAAAAATATAAAAAACACAAACATAGTATTTATTTTTTATTTGTATTGGTTAAAATACATTATAATAATTTAGTTCAATTTATACTTGATTTTTATGAACGGTATCATACCAGTTACAGTAGTTAACCTATAATATATTATTAAAAATAAAATAATATTTTTTTTTTACAATAATTTTTACAATTTTTAAGTTTATTTTTATTTAATTTTTTAATTATTTCTGTTATACTAATTATATTTGAAATTAAACTAAACTAAATTATTCATATTTTTATTTTATTTGAAAATATTTAATACCTATTCAATTTTATTTTACATAATATGAATTAATTTGATATTAAATATTATGTTATTTCATATTTCATTAATCATAAACATTTAACTTACATGTTATTGTTCATATTATCCATCAGATTATTGTACAAATCTTCAATTTTCAATGTTTTCAGTTTGTCGACGTCAATTAGGCGGTAGTAAAAAAAAATTGTTACATACACAAATTATTTGAGAATTAGTTATATAACTTAATAGTTTACTAATGATATTTACCTGTAAATAAATAACACATATTAACAATCATAGTATTACAAATATATTATAAACACAATTTAATTTAATATTTAATATTTCATTATTAATTTGATTTCATTTTACTGAAATTTGGAAATTAAGTGTTAGACATATTTATTTTTATTTGATTAAAACTTACATGTAATAGTAGGTATTAAATTAATACTATTAATCTACTTGTTTGCTGAACAAATCTTGAATGGCACGTTTACGTTGAATAGATATTGTTGAAGATGAATTGGTACATACACAAATTGTTTAAAAATTTGTTAAATAACTGTAATCATAGACTCAACAAACTCTAGAATTAAATGAAAAATGAATCTATATTTATTTGTACTATCATATTTATTGAAAATATACAGAACATCATTGAACCACGTCAGTACTAATTAATAAATTACTAATATTAGATGGTCTGATGACACAGTTATTATACATAAGTTTACAGTTATAAAAAATCATTAGGTACCTACTAATTATCGAATAAAGTAGGTGGGTAATCTGATTAAATGATTAGATACAAAGTGTAACACAATTGTTGTAGCGAGTCTAAAAACAAAATTACTGCAATGCATTTATTTTATTTATACCTATCTAATTACCAGTTTACCTGAAAATAAAATAATCATGCGATATTACACCGCATCATAATATTAGACTGATTATAAACTGCAAACTGTCATTTTTTTTTTTTTTCATTATAATATAAAAGGATTTAAAATTATAAATTATCATAGGTAAAATCAGATCAAACGACCTTTATGTTCAATTAAATGTAGAAAGCCTAAAACAAAATGAGTATGCAGCATTTATTTTATTTATATCTAATCAGACCAGTTTACCTAAAAATGAAAAAAAATTATGCGATATTACACCACATCATAATATTAGACTGATTATAAACTGCAAACGGGCATTTTTTTTTTCATTATATATAAAAATTTATTTAAAGTTAGCATAGGTAATCTGATCATGCAACCTCTATGTGCAATTTAATGTGGAAAGCCTAAAACAAAATGAGTACACTGCATTTATTTTATTTATACCTAATTATCTGACAATAATACATAAACCGATGATCACTTTACAGTTTACACACTCACACAGCCTTATTAGATTGTATATAAACAGTCGAAATACATTGATATTTGATTATAGACAGTGTTAAATCTCAAAATTAACTATTGGACTTGATGCGTCTTTGCTTCACACCGTTACAAGACTACATAACAAGTAATATACTTTGATCTGGTATAAGTTTTAAAAACTAATATATTAAAAATTTTAAATTATAAATTTTAATTTAAGGTAAAAAAATATGTCTTCATATACCAATGTTACTGGAGAAAGCTCGTCAAACGAAGATGTAAGTATTCCATTTGGTTGTGTTTGTGCGTGTGTACATATAATATATTATATAATAGCCAATAGGTACCTACAACACAGAATTTTATATTTATATTATTGATATTTTATTAAATAATATCAGGAAAGTTCATATTCAGTACCTGCCAAGCCAAAAATAAAAATTAGCAAAAGGAAAAATGTTGTTGAGTCAAAAGTTAGTACTAATAGTAAAAAGACCAAGATCGGAAAGGTAATAATTAATATTATTTCTAAAATATTACACACACACACACACACACACCATTTTTAACACTAATTGAAATGTTACTTTATTTTATATATTTTTATATATCGGCAATCGGAATCATACAAGGATATTTTTATGGATTTGATATCGAAAGGAAAAATTGAAAATTATATATTAAATACATTAACAATGAAGGAAGGGAATAGTTCCTACACATTTAAATGTCCAGTTGTACCTCACTGTGAAAGTGTGAAGACTACTATGTCATTCAGCACTATAAAATGAATACAATCCAAGATATTCCATCAGATGAAAGGTTAGTAAAAAAATTATGACCTATAACATGTTTAAAATAAAAAATATAAAATAGTGAATTTTCATACTAGATGGAAACATGCGGAAGCTAGTATTAAAATTCATACATCAAGTAGAGATACAAAAGATTCAATAATTTCAAACAAAATCAATGACGTTGTTTGAGAAATATTGGACCGGTTTCAGCAGATCCTAAGAAAAAACTTATCAAAAATACTAAAGAATAAAATAATCACAATTTAAATGTATAATCTGTTTTATTAATATTACAAATTATAAAAATTTATATTTAATGATTGTTTAATAAAAGTAGTAACATTATAATAAAATAACTAATCTTGTTTCTATTTTTACAATAATATTGATAATTTTTATTTATTATTAATGGTATACAGTTTAAAGAGTAAAAACAAATTGATATATTATACTATAATACTACTGCTGTCTGATCGCAACATTATATTTTAATATCATTTAATATTATACCTGATAAAGAATTATTGTGGAATTGAAGTATTTCATACATAAAACTGAAATCATCGTTCTGTACAAAACAATTGCTAAAATCAAAATTTTGTATATACTGGTTTGTAAAATCATTTCGCTGACAAGATAATGGTAGAATATTAATGTCTGCTTTAATTGATGAATACACTGTATCAAAAAATGATTGATATGAAACCAACTTTTTCTGCTTTTCAACAATATACGAATCAATACATTCTTGTAATTCTTTTATCCGGTGGAGATCATTATATGATAACGTGATAAATTGGTTATTAACATACAATTTGATAGTAAACTGATTTAAATTAACTGACTAACTAATAAGTTTGTTTTGTATACAGAGAAATGTGTTTGAGGTTTATTTTATTATTATTCAGACTGAATTTGTTTTTTTAAATGATATAAAATGTATGGTAAATTTTAATGAAATTGTTTAAATATTTGTAACCACAATCAAGGAAAGAAATATAGATTCTCAAATTTAAATATAATGTTATGTAATATTTTCTTAATTTTTGATTAAACATTCTAAATTAATTAGACTTTTACTTAATACAATAAATAAAACTAGACACAAAAAACATACAAATTAAACTGTTGTTTTATGGAAACATTCTTTGCATTAAATAGTTTCTGTAGGTTGTTCCTTCGAGGATGTCTCCTTCAACATTGTCATCATCCAGTTGAATGTCATCGCCATTATTAATTTCATCCTCATTTTCAATTATTATTTGAAATTCATCGTCAATTGAAAAATTATGCAATACATAACAAGCTCTGATGAAATGCACTATATGCTCAATTTTGCGCAGCTTGCAGTGGTAAAGTTGCCTAAACTTCTGCTTGAGCAAACTAAAACAATGTTCAATAACGTACCGACATGATGATAGTGTTTTGTTGAAGTTAATTTATTGACGGCTCAATCTACCATTATCCTTGAATGGTGTAGTAAGATTGCGTAAGCAAGGATAAGCACTATCTCCAAGAATTACATTCTCCTGACATAGAATTTCCAAGTTAGTAGCTAATGGTGACCTCCTAAAAACTCTGGCATCATGGACTGACCCAGGAAACCCGATAAATATACTTTTTATTTTATTTCTATGGTCACAAACAGCTTGCATCTGTAAACAATATACTTATAATTAAAATTCTGTAAGAAAAATAATACATACAAAAAAATACATACATGAATGGAAAAATATTTTTTTCTATTATAATAGGAATCTGGGTCTGAGGAAGGCTTGTCAATACGTATATGATTTCCATCAATAGCCCCAATGACATTAGAAAATCCTTTCATTTGGAAAAAGTTCCTGGTTTCCTGTTTTTCTTCCTCATTCGGCCAAGTTATTATGGTACTAGCCATACGGCTTATAACATGTGTCAGAGGTCTCACAACTCTGAACAGGCTGCTTATTGTTATACAAAACCCGTCAGCAACATCACAGAAAGAGGCAGTCTGATGTCCAGCAAACCAAAGAAAAATTAAAATCTAAAAAACAATTTAAGATAAGTTTCAGAATCAAAATAATAATAATCATAATATATACTAATTTAATTTAATTTATTAATTCATTTTACAGACTTAATAATTAATATTTAATTTAATACATAATTTAACACCTTTATTTAAACAAATAGATTGATAAGGTCTATCTTAGATAAGTTTTATAAATTAATTTTTTAATTCTATTTACAACATTAGAATTTAACTCTTATCTTAGGACTTTAGGTTAGAGAAAATAAGTAATTTGATAGTGACTTACTTGGTTGTAGGCAGGTATTTTTCCATGTCCTCCAGTTGTGTCATTAAATTCTGGACTGACCTCAAAGTGTATGGTCAAATTGTTTGAAATGTGGCGTGTAACACGGAACTGTTCCAAAAACTCTAAGTCATTGTATCTAAAAAAAAAAACTAATAATTTATGTTGTCAAATAAATATTCAGCAACAAATTTACCAAAACTACCCCTAGGTTTTAGAAAAATAAAAAAGTTACAATTTAAACCCGAGAGGGGGATGTTTGCTTACCATGTGTTAATTATTCAACAAGGAAAATGTATAAATATTAACTTAAATGTAATTATAAAAAGCTTACTTACCTTGCTACAGTCTCAAAATAATTCTGATTTTTCGGTCTTGTTCTGTCTTCAAAATAAACTTCGTCGTCGCTAACAAATAAAAATTCATAGTCGGACTCGGACGATGATAAAGAGGACGAGGAGTCGAAAAATTCCAAATCCATCTCAAAATGTCAATCAGAAATATTACATCAGAAAATATAAAAGCCGATTATTTGTCTATAAATAAAGCGGTTTTAAATGGCTCTGTTGTAATTGGTATTTTTTTTTTAAATTTCAATCAAAATGTTAAGTTTTGTACAAGGTACCTACAACATATTTTTTTTGTTCACAAATTTTTACCTTAGGCATTGGTTATGGACAACTAATTATGTTTATATATGTATAAAAATTCGTGAATGTCATTATTATTTAACTTTATATATTATTTAGACGATGGAGATAGTAGTGTCACCACACGTGTCAACGAAGTTTTGTCGTATGGTCCTAATTTTTTAACACAGAAAATCGAATGTAGAAACCATGTATTAAGAAATTATTGCCAAAAAGTTACTGCGGCTGCAAAAAAATAAGTATATCCTATAAATGTACGTTAATTTATATTATCAAATATAATGAGATTTAGAACTGGTATGGGAACAGCTATAAAGTATGGAATAAAGGAGAATAAGTCTATAACTCAAAAAAATTTCAGGTTTTAATTTTTATAAATATTATTATTTACAGGATCAGCATAATTGTATTCATTGTATTCTATCACATATTATGAGACCATAAAAAGTGTGACAAATATTTTTGTAAAGGATCTTAATCTGGAGATCAAAATTTGTTTCCATCGCTGAAAACTGTGGTATAATGAGGGAAATTAATATGGCTAATCGACGTTTATTCAACAATGCCCAGAGTCTTTTAAAAAATGTTGACAATAGTATATGTGAGCAATTTAATAGTATGGTTAACAAATTTATTGGTGGAAAAAGAACGAATTTGTCTCAAAAAAACACATATAACACCAGAGTAGAGGCAGCTGTTATTGCATTTAATTCACAATCGTATTTAGGTAGGTACATACAATTCATAAATCTATAACCAATGCAAGTCCAGGTAATTTTAAAACAAAATAACTACTTAAATATTTATTTTTTTTATTTATTTTCATATATTTTTTAACAATGTGCCTTACCTTATTATTATTCACATAAATACATGTTGAAATATACAATTAATATTAGTATTAAAATCATGTAAACACACCTGCGTCATTTTAAATGGTCATTCTAAATGCCTTGAAAGAAGGTGAGATAGTTTCAGGTGAATGGACGAAACCAAGTCTACCTATAAAAAAGTCGGCAACAGAGACCGACGAGGATGCCAAAGCAAGTTGGCAAAGGCCAGTGACGTATTTAGGGGGGGGGGCTAGAGGGGGCGATCGCCCCGGGCGGCATTTTTATAGGGGCGGCATCAGATTTTTACATAACCCATCTTCTGTTAATGAAAATGAAAATGAAAAATAATATAAATTAGTTTTTTTTTATCAATAATATAATAATTAAAAAATATTAATTTTTATCAATAATATGACAACACTGTTTATACAGTTATCGCTTATTAGTGACTTATCAAAGTATAGAAAACATTAAAACAATGAATTTTGAATTTTTATACGACATATACCCGTACGTAAATATTGCTCTAAGAATGTATCAATGTTGTCCTGTGTCTAACTGCTCTTCAGAGAGATCGTTTAGTGCACTAAAACGAATTAAAAGTTATTTTCGATTGAGGATGACTGATGAACGACTAAACAGTATCGCCATATTAAACATCGAATCAGATATTACAAAAGGTTTAGATTATGATGATCAGTGGCTTCCGCAGGATTTTTTAATAGGGGGGCTTGAAAATTAGTCACAATTTAATTTTTATTTTGACCAGTCTAATAATTGCAAACGATTATTTGGGGTATTTTAAAATGTTTGTAACTTTTCAACTGATCTGGTAGAAAAAATGCTCTGATCATAAGTTTCGATGCCCAGTGTATGTTTTTGTTAGCAAATTGGATCTAGTTAGTACTTTTAGGAGGTAGAAATTGAAAATTCTTGGTGCTTTTATAAATAATTGGAGAAAAAAAATTGAAAATTTATTTAAATTGTTTGGTAACAAGCTTTGGTTATACCGTCTTAAATTGGATTGTATTTGATTAATTAAAATTTTTCTTCTATGAATGTCAATAAAAAATTAATTATCCGGTCAAAAAGCTTAAAAATGTAATACGTAAGTTTTTTTATTACAGCTAAAATATTAACAATACATAGGCATCATGGCTTTTTTTTTATAAGCATTTATTAAGTTCAAATTTCGTCAAAACCACGGTTAATTTGTAGTTCAAAACTCATAAAATATAAAATATGTATATCTAAGGCTAGACAATTTAATACAAGGTCTTTCATACATATAGTTCATACTTTTACAGAAAAATTACAGATAATTTATGAAAATTGGTATGCAAATACAATGTTTTTTCAAAAATGAATTCATTCTGGTAAGACATATATGAGATTTACTATAGTTGAGAGTTTAAACTTGATTAATATTTTTTTGAAAAAGTAATAATTATACGGGCAATGGGGGGGGGGGGGGCTTCATCCCATTAGCCTCCCCCTGCGGACGCCACTGATGATTATATAATCAATGAGTTTAGTTCCTTGAAAGCTCGAAAAATGAATATGTAAATTTTAAATATTTATTGTTTTGTAATTATAGTTGATAATAACTAAACCTATTTTATATTAAATATTTAAATGTGATTAATTTAAAAAAATAACATAATGTTTAAAGTTTGAAATCTACTTTTTTTTTTTTTACTAACTTTTGTTCTAAAAAGGATACGATAACGGGTTGTCACCGGAAAGTAAGCTCCAACGCTCTCGGTAGTTTGAAAAAGTCAAATAATTTTTTCTGTGGAGGGGGGGGGCGGAAAAACATTGGCACCCGGGCGCCAAATTTCTGAATACGTCTCTGGCAAAGGCATACAAACGCTTGGCTAAAAGCGGACCGTAAATGTCAGAAAATAACAAGGCTGGGCAAGTTAACTATTTTTTTTAACTCGTTAAGTTAAGTTAATATAGAAAAATGTAAGTTAAGCTTAAAGTTAAAAGTTAACTTCATTTTTTTTTAACTTGTAAAAGTTACAAGTTAATTAGAAAATAAAAGTAACTTAACTTAGTTAAAAATAAGTTACTTTTTTTTTTTAAATAAAATTAACAATTATACCTACCTACCTACCTTTTTAAAGCTAACAAATAACATAATAATTCAGTAAATCAAAAAATGTCTTACAATATTTGAATAAATGTTTGTAATAAAATTAGTTACTGTAGGTACTTATATTAATTTTGTGTATTATACTTTAATTAGGTAAATAGTAAATACCACACTACTACGGGTATTATTTACATCGACGGGCCAAGTTATCATCGTAATTCTATGAATGAATAAAAATATAATAATAAGTAATGATATTAATAATGATTAGGTATAGGTTAGGTACTGAGTAAATTGTTATATTTTTCTTTGACGCGGTTACCCCTATGATATTTCCCTCTATAATATAGTTATAAAATATTTTCTGTGAATATGCAATATAAAAACTTACTATTATTATAAATTATTATTTAATAAAATATATTTAATATTTCGGGTTTTTTTTTATGTAATTAATTTTACAAAATTGAATTAATTTTAAATAATATGTGGTTTGGGAAAAAATTAACTTAACGTGCCAATACAATTAATTAACTCGTTAAGTTACTGAATAACATGGGGAAAAATGTAAATCGTTAAGTTAGAAGTTACTTTAAAAAAAAAAAGTAACTCGTTATTTAACTTAGTTAAAAGTAACTTAACTTTTTAACTTAACTTTAACTTATTAACTCGTTAATGCCCAGCCTTGGAAAATAATAGTTACCTCAGTGGACGATAGTCCATTACAATATTTGATTAACTGCGAGACTGCATTGGAAATGTGGGAGAAACTGCTGAGTATTTACGAGCAGAAGTCTAAGGCAAGTATACATTTGCTTCAACAACAATTTTTCAGTTATTCAAAGGAACCGACAGATGACATATTTCTAAATTGGTCAATTTAAGAAGGAAACTGAGAGTAGCGGGTGAACCAGTTACGGATAACATGGTACAAAAATACTAATGACATTACCAAAAGAATATAATCATTTTTACGGTGCTTGGGATTCAGTCCCAACGGGAAGTAAAAATATAAATAATTTAAGTAGTCGGTTGTTGATCGAAGAATCACAGGTTATCCAGATCAAAGGTGAAGTTGGTGAACAAGAGAAATCGAGTGCATTTCTAGCCAAATTTCAAAACAGATCCGATGGAAAAAACGGCAGTTATGGTAAAGGTAAAAATCAATTATATTAATAAAAGTAATGTTAAATGTTATTACTGTGGTAAAATCGGTCATTATAAAAGAGACTGTAAGAATTTCCTAAGTAGTATGAAAGGTGGGAAAACCGGTACTACAGGTACAAGCTTAAATGCATTTGTAAGCGAGTCTAGGATAAATGAAACTACAACCGATAAGTGGGTTTTAGACTCAGGCGCGTCGGATCATATGAGCGCGAAACTAGAAGTGTTTACAAGTTATGAACCATTGAAATATACACAACAGGTAACAATAGGTGACGGAACAAATCTGTATGCAACAGGAAAAGGTAATATCAATATATTATCATACGTGAACGGTAATTGGAATAAAAATTACTTGGCAAATGTATTGCACGTGTCGGGATTAAAATTTAATTTATTCTCGTGCGGGTCAGCGTTAGACAAAGGTTTAGAACTAACGTCAGACAATAAAACGTGTGTGTTCAAAAGAAACGGGATTCCTGTATGCATAGGCACAAGATGCGGTAGATTGTTTGAATTACATATCAAAGTCGAAGCACCGTCGAAAGCTGAATGTCATGCGAACATTACAGTAGAAAAACGATTAGAAGTATGGCACAACTTAGCTCACCAGAATATTCAATACGTGAGGAATTGTTTGGCAAAACATAATATTGATTATTCGCCAAGGACGATCAATTTGTATGCAGCGACTGCATAATCGGGAAACAACACCGTCAATCGTTCAGTAAAAGTGAAAAGGAATATTTTAACGTCGGATATTTAATACATGCAGATTTATGTGGACCGATGCAGAGGAACTCTATCGTTATGTCAAAATACTTTTTTACTATTTAGAGATGACTACTCACGTTACAGAACGGTATATTTTATTAAGAATAAATATTATGGAATCATTTATAAAAAAGGGTTAAAACAGAAACAGGATCTAAAGTCAAAATATTAAGGACAGATAATGGGTTAGAATTCGCAAACAAGGATATTAAAGGTATTCTACAGAAATATGAAATATGACACCCAACTACGGTAGCATATATGCCGGAACCGAACGGGAAAGTAGAGCGAGATAACAGAACAATCGTAGAAGCTGCCAGGACAATGATTTGTACGAAAAATCTTGACGTGTCATTATGGGCAGAAGCTGTGAACACAGTGGTTTATACACTTAATCTAACCGGAACGAGTTCACAGAATGGTAAGCCACCTTACGAGTTATATTATAAAGTCGTGAGAGTTATTAAACACTTACGAGTTTTTGGTACTGCGGTATATACACACATACCAAAGCAAAAACGTTAGAAATGGGATCCAAAGAGTGAAAAAAGAATATTTGTTGGCTACTCGAACAGCACAAAAGGTTATCGTGTATGGTATTCGAAAACAAATAAAATATCCGTGTGCAGAGACATTATATTCGAAGACGAATGTAATAATTATGAAAATGTAATTGCAGACACATTAGAGTTTACAGACACTCAATTAATTCAACGGGCGTGTGTGAGAAGGACGAAAACATAGTCGATGATAGAAATGTTATGGTTCTACATGACAGAAATACACTTAAGAAACCGGACAGGTACCTATAATGTTCAGACTTTTATTGCTAACTGTGTCAATCCATTGAATTATGATGAGGGAATTACTGGGTCAAACAAAAATGAATGGAATAATGCTATGAACGACGAAATTAATTCATTACACGAAAATCAGACTTGGACTCTAGTATACTATTATACTATATACTATATCACACACTATTGAACAAAAGGAAGAATCGGAGATATTAAGCGAAGAAATACCTTATATTCAGGCAGTAGGTAGCTTACTGTTTTTATCACAGGTAACGAGACCAGATATAGCATATGCAGTAAACTTTGCTAGTCGTCACTTAGCAAAACCAACTAAAGCTCATTGGAATTTGGATCGACGAAATTAATTCGTTGCACGAAAATCAGACTTGGACTCTAGTCGATTTGCCATAGGATGAAGTTGCATAACGAAATGCATGGGTGTTCAAAACCAATTATAAAACTGACGGTAGTTTAGATAAATTTAAGGCCAGATTGATCATTAAGGGTTGTTCACAGAAATACGGTATAGATTACCATGAAACATTTTCGCCAGTGGTCAGATACGAATCAATTATTGCGATATTCGCAGTAGCAGGTGTGGAAAAATTAATACTACGACAATTCGACATCAAGACAGCATTTCTGTACGGGGAACTACAGGAAGAAATATACATGGTACAACCACCAGGTTACGAAGATGGCTAAAATCAAGTATGTAAGCTTCGGTGAAGTTTGTATGGCTTAAAACAAAGTCCAAGATGTTGGAAATACGCTTTAAGAACTTTTTGAATGCATTTGGTTTACAATGTACCTAAGTGGATGCATGTGTATTCAGAGTTGATAACAGCCAAATTATTCTTGCAATATTCTTGCAACACGGACTGCGTTATCGCGCCGCCCAGTAATTAATTTTACCGATTCAAGATACGACCCTGCACCATCTTATACAGTGTGGGCGCCGAAACTTCTCTTATACAGCGTGTCATAGTGCACGCCAATTGCCACTAAACAAAAACTTCATTCTCTTTCTACTTCTACTTGTCTACTTCAAACTATGTCCAAGCTTTCACCAGTCATCACCCGTTCGGGCTCTACAACTTCCACTACTTCTAAGAAATCCACTTCGAACGATGACATCTTAAAAGCTATTGATCGTACCCAATCATCTCAAGATAAATTATTGGCTGGCCACAAATCCTTAGGTACTGATCTCAAAACGAGTATCAACGCTCTTACTTCTCGATTTGATTCTCTCTCACTCGAAATTTCTGAGCTCCGTACTAAAGTCGACCTCCTAGAATCTAAGGTTCTAGCTCTAGAGTCAAACACACCAAAGTCATCAACTGTCCCATCAACCCAAATTTCAGATGTCTTACAGGAATTTACCGAGCGGGATCGATGCAAGTTCAATATTATTATGCATGGTCTACCCGAATCCACATCGAGCGATCTCCCTACTAAAATAAACGACGATAAGCGATATATTTTCTAAGCTCTCTGTCGATGTACACACTGATTTCAAATCGTTTCGTCTTGGTAAACCTACCTCAACCTCAACTCGACCTCTAAAAGTTATCTTTGGCTCCTGTGAAGCTGCTTCTGCTGTTCTTACGTCCTATAGTCAAGCTAAAATCCAAAAATTGTCCCTTCTAACACTCACCAGCATTGTACGTGACAAAACTTTACTAGAACGTCAACAACTTCGTACCTTTCACCTGAGTTAGATCGTCGTGTAGCTGCAGGTGAACAAAACCTAACCATCACGTTCAAAAACGGTTCTCCGTGCGTAATTTCCCGTTCAAAAAACGACATCCGAGTTCTTCATCGCCCTCAAGCATAATCAACACCAACACCCCCATCACTAACAACATCAATGGATACTACTAGAATTGTCGGGGCCTTCGTACTAAACTTGTTAATTTCAATTGTAATACTTCCTGTTTTAACTATGTCTTTATTGCTCTTACGGAAACTTGGCTCACTAATAGTTTTTACTTTTCTGAGCTCGGTCTCAATAATTACAATATATTTAGATGCGACAGGTCTCCTCAAACCAGCTCCTGTGGTGGTGTGTTAGTAGCTATGCGTAAATACATTCCTTCTTCCCCCCTTAATATACCTAATAATAATGTTGAACAATTATTTGTCCGCTTCTCTCATAACTCCTTAAATTTTATAATTGACAGTGTTTACATACCACCTTCATCGCTCATTGAGCTTTATACTACTCATCTAATTACTATTGATTTTATTGTTCAAAAATACCCAAACCATAGTTTTATCCTCACTGGTGATTACAATCTACCATTTATTTCATGGTCAAATGATACACATGGTCTGTGTTTCCTAACTCAAACAATCTCGGAATATACTTCCATTCCTGAAAGACTTGCCATCCATGGATTCTTCTAACATAATTACATATTAAATTCTCACCACTCTCTTCTCGATCTCATATTTCTCTAACCTTAGCATCCATAACTGTTAAACAAGCTCTTGACACAGCCGTGCTTGCCGACACTTACCATCCACCTCTCTCACTCTCTATAAATCTCCCCATCCATGCTCCTCAATCTACTCCCCTCAAATCATTTTATAACTTTAGCAAGGCAGACTACATACAGATCACTAAATTCTTTAACTATTTCAATTGGAAACGTACCTTTCTATCATACTCCCCTGATGATTCCATGTCTGTTTTCCTTGATGCTCTCCATTATTCAATTTTATCTTTTGTTCCTAAAATCTCTTTTCGCCCTTCCACTTTTCCATCATGGTACACTAAGGAGCTCAAAGAACTAGTGTTTGCTAAGACTCGCGCTCGTGGCAAATTTAAGTCATCCCAGCTATTATGAGATTGCAAGCATTTTTCACTTCTTCTGAAATTTAAATTCATCTCCAGACAATGCTACCGTAATATTTTGTCTCTCGTACCGAGTCCTCCATATTACGCAACCCACGATACTTTTGGAGTTTCATTAGAAAAAAGCGCTCTTCTCAATCTATACCTCCAAGTGTCACACTCAATGGTATACGGAGTACATCTCTTTCCGACACAACTAACCTTTTTGCTGCATATTTTTCTTCTGTGTTCACCCAGCCTTCACCGACTCCATCCCAAACATTACATCCTACCTACCACTTTCCACTCCCGTCTAATGCCTATTTTTCGATTAGTGACGTCTACAAATGCTTATGTTCCCTTCGCAATATAAAATCTGTTGGTCCAGATGGTATCCAGGGTGATTTCTTGTACAAACTTCGATCTGTTCTAGTAGAGCCGTTGTGGTTATTGTTTAGGCGTTCTATTGACTCAGGTATCTTTCCATCTGCTCTTAAACTTGGCTCAATTAGACCCATATTTAAGGTTGGTGATTCTACTGATGTTTCTAACTATCGTCCAATAACTATCCTCCCACATTTATCCAAATTATTTGAAACGCTTGTCCTTAACTCGATTCGCCCTTCCTTGAATCATATAATAATTGATGTTGCTCATCAATTAGGATATGATTCAAGGAAGGGCGAATCGATTTGAAATCAGTGTGTACATCGACAGAGAGTTTAGAAAATATATCGCATACAGTGAGCTTATCGTCGTTTATTTTAGTAGGGAGATCGCTCGATGTGGATTCGGGTAGACCATGCATAATAATATTGAGGCTTCCGTCCTGGTAGATCAACTGTTACTTGTAACTTTAGTCTTCATTCATATATATATATATATATATGATTCTTTTCGCGATAACTGCCAAGTAGATGTAATCTACACAGATTTTTCCAAGGCTTTCGATCGTGTTAATCATAATCATCTTATGTCAACACTAGACTCTATAGGCATTGGCGAACCTCTACTATCCTGGCTTCACTCTTACATCACAAATAGGATACAATGGGTTACTGTTGATTCCACCTCTTCTGACCATTTTACCCCCTCCTCAGGTGTACCACAAGGTGCTGTTCTTTCTCCTCTTCTATTTGTCATATTCGTAAACTCAGCCACCTCCGTTCTCCAGCATGCTAAACTTCTTATATTTTCTGATGATATGAAAATATTTTTCCGTATAAAATCCATCTCTGACTGTCATCTTCTTCAAAACGACCTTCAGCGATTAGTCACATGGGGCGAATCTTTGGGGCTAGCTCTTAATATTACTAAATGCTCAGTAATGACTTTTTGTCGTATTAATGCCGTAATTAAGCATACTTACTCCGTAAACAATACCCCCTTAACAACTTGTAATAATGATATAAAAGATTTAGGATTCACTCTTACTCGGAACCTGTGCCCTAATATGCACATTCAGTTAATCTATTGTAAGGCTCTTAAGCTGCTAGGTTTTATAAACCGTATCTCTACAGATCATCACTTGCTCACCCCACTAAAAACTCTTTTCTGTTCCTTAGTCCGTCTCATCCTTGAATATGGTACCATCCTCTGGGACCCGTCCACCGCTTCTGCACGTAGCATGATAGAAAGGGTTCAAAGAAAATTCCTCCGTCACGCTGCTTTAAAACTAAACATATTCTGCCCACCTCACGATTACACGCCAATCCAACGCCTTTTTTCCTTAGAAAGTCTCGCCGATCGTCGTCATTCAGCAAACTTAACATTTCTTTCTAATCTTCTTTCCTCTAAAATTGACAGTCCTGAATCACTATCCTGTGTCTCATTTAATGTCCCCTCCCGACGTACACGATCATCTGTTCCATTTCATATTCCTTTCTCTTCCTCAAACTACTATCTTAACTCTCCGATCATCCGTCTTATGCGCATTGCCAACACTTACCCTTCATTCTCACTCTAAATTGAGCCTCGTTTCTAAAAGCAAATTATTATTACTATTATTATTATACTACTATATTCATGTATTAAAGGGTTCGTCCCGTATTGTATAATAAAATAAAAAATATTTGTTTACGATGGTTTAATCGCTGCAGATAATGAAGATATAATAGAGAAACTTTTAACTAACTTGGAGAAAGAGTTTGAGGTTAAAAAGGGAAACTTAGAATATTTTCTAGGTATGCATGTAAACCTAATGAAAAATTGTTCATTATTTGTGCATCAGAAAAATTATGCATGTAGCATAATTAATAAATTTAATATGCTGGACGCCAAGGAACTTTCAATTCCGATAGACAAATCACATACTATTGAAAAAAAGGAAGATATAAATCGGAGATATTAAGTGAAGAAATACCTTATAGGCAGGCAGTAGGTAGCTTACTGTTTTTATCACAGGTAACGAGACCAGATATAGCATATGCAGTAAACTTTGCTAGTTGTTACTTAGAAAAACCAACTAAAGCTCATTGGAACTTGGTAAAACGGATTACACGATATGTCAAACGAACATTTAATTATGGCTTGTATTTTAATCATAATACACAATTGTCATTAGAAATATTTAGCGATGCAGATTACGCAGGTGACGTTCAGACATGACGTTCAACGACAGGATTCCTATTTAGATACTGGTCAAGCATAATTTCATTTACATCGCATAAAAAATAAAAATAAATGCGTTCATTAAGAGTCTATCTGATGTGGATCGAAGTAAGCATTTACATAAAAAAAAAATGTTTTAACAAGCACGAATTGTACGTATACCCCGTTTTGAATCAACAACAATGGGGAGGCTTGTGTACCAAACCATAACTGCAATAAATTATACTCCAAAAATATATTTTATATAAAATTAATAAATATAATTTTTGTATATGTTGACTTATTATTCATTTATAATAAACATAGATTATTTGGAAAAAGAAACTAGAAATCAAGCCGACTCTCAACTTTGGCATGTCGAACGACGAAACCGAATAACTGCATCGAACTTCGGAAAAATATATGTACGATGAGACCACATACGCCTTGTGAAAATACCGTTCATGGTTTACTGTATGGTAACAACATACACGCAAAGGCGTTAGACTATGGAAAAAGTATGGAACAATATGCTAGAATTGAATTTGAAAATAAATTTATGTTAAAGGTTTCTCCAGCTGGTCTATGTGTGGTTTCTGAAATACCTTATTTAGCTGGGTACCTACGTAATATAACTACATAACGTTCAAGCCATACAACATTAAACCTACCTTATTATTATCATATAATAATTAAATTAATATTTTAGATGGCTTTGTTGATCATGATTCATTGATCGAAATTAAATGTCCATTCTTAGCAAAAGATTGTGATACCATAATTCATGCGAAATAAAAAATAAACGGTGAAAACGTAACTGAACTACAGAACTCATGTGACTATTACTATCAGATGCAAGGGAAATTGAATATAACTAAAAGGAGCGTTTGTTATTTTGTAATATATTCAGAAAAATTGATTTCAGTTGAAAAAATAATTTACGATCAACACTTTTGGGCCGAAAAAATGTTAAATTATTTAAAAACGTATGTGTTACCTATTGTCGCACAACAATTTATAACTTTTATAATTTTTTTTTTTTATAAAGTTTAAAATATGAATTCAAATGGTTGTTTCATTCATGGAATGTTTACTACCAGAATTGATAAATCATCAGTATTGTAAACGCTTGTGGCGACGGTTGTCCCACATACTGTCATCTGTTCCCCAGCGGTCGTAGCAGCAGTCGTACCAGCGGTCGTCACCACACTCACTGTCTCAGTCTCTCACGGTGCCCGTCTACCGTTACGTTCACGCCGTTCCGCGCTCGCTATTGTCCGCGATTACAATAAAGAATTTCTTTTGTGTCATTTATTTTAACTATACTTACTTATACTTGTCATAGTAATGCAACCTTTATACATGTTACTGTAACCAAATAAAATTAAACAATTATTTAAAATACGTCGGCATTCTGAGTTCTTTCGCCTAACCTCAAATACCATTGCCGCAGGGATAGTGCTTAGATTGCCGCATTGGTGACCTCGTGTTTTTCAAAATTCTCAATTTTCTGTTATACACGCAACTGCGCAAGGTTCTATCAAGTATACCGAAAAGTTCGATATGGTTGACGACGAAGTCTCGCAAGATCCGTCTGGTGCGCCCGGTCAGCCATCACCGTCCACGCTCGCGAACGTTTCGACCACGGTTGACAGTGTTTCCCACGTGCCCCGACTACCAAATTTTTGGACTTACTCCCCGCACGAGTGGTTCCTACACGCGGATGCCGTATTCGCCAACCAAAGAATCCGCGCCGACACCCCGCGTGTAAACCACGTGCTCGCCGCTCTGAACGAGGAGGCGGTCAAGGCGGTAAGCGACCTGATCGGTCCCAACACTTCCTACGCTAGTCTAAAGGATCGTCTCATCAGCACGTTTTCGGTGCCGCCGTCGACTCGTTTTCGCACCATCGTTGAACCGGGCGGGATGGGCGATCGGAGACCCTCTCAAATGCTCCGAGACATGAGAGCTGTGCTTCCGAATTCGTTGGACGATACTGCGCTAAGGGAGTTCTGGCTACAAAAGTTACCGTCAAACATTCGCGCAATAGTCTCCGGCCTCGACGGAACGTTGACCGATATCGCCGAACGTGCGGATCGCGTGTTGGAGGCCAGTACCTCGCGCGACGTTTTCGCGGTGCAATCGAGTAGCTCTGACGACCGTCTCCGCGCCATAGAGGCTGCCATACTCTCGTTGACTACCCAAATCTTCAACCTGCATCGAACAAAAAACGCGTCCGTTTTTGTTTCGCGGGGGGGAGTAATGTGGCGACGGTTGTCCCACATACTGTCATCTGTTCCCCAGCGGTCGTAGCAGCAGTCGTACCAGCGGTCGTCACCACACTCACTGTCTCAGTCTCTCACGGTGCCCGTCTACCGTTACGTTCACGCCGTTCCGCGCTCGCTATTGTCCGCGATTACAATAAAGAATTTCTTTTGTGTCATTTATTTTAACTATACTTACTTATACTTGTCATAGTAATGCAACCTTTATACATGTTACTGTAACCAAATAAAATTAAACAATTATTTAAAATACGTCGGCATTCTGAGTTCTTTCGCCTAACCTCAAATACCATTGCCGCAGGGATAGTGCTTAGATTGCCGCATTGGTGACCTCGTGTTTTTCAAAATTCTCAATTTTCTGTTATACACGCAACTGCGCAAGGTTCTATCAAGTATACCGAAAAGTTCGATATGGTTGACGACGAAGTCTCGCAAGATCCGTCTGGTGCGCCCGGTCAGCCATCACCGTCCACGCTCGCGAACGTTTCGACCACGGTTGACAGTGTTTCCCACGTGCCCCGACTACCAAATTTTTGGACTTACTCCCCGCACGAGTGGTTCCTACACGCGGATGCCGTATTCGCCAACCAAAGAATCCGCGCCGACACCCCGCGTGTAAACCACGTGCTCGCCGCTCTGAACGAGGAGGCGGTCAAGGCGGTAAGCGACCTGATCGGTCCCAACACTTCCTACGCTAGTCTAAAGGATCGTCTCATCAGCACGTTTTCGGTGCCGCCGTCGACTCGTTTTCGCACCATCGTTGAACCGGGCGGGATGGGCGATCGGAGACCCTCTCAAATGCTCCGAGACATGAGAGCTGTGCTTCCGAATTCGTTGGACGATACTGCGCTAAGGGAGTTCTGGCTACAAAAGTTACCGTCAAACATTCGCGCAATAGTCTCCGGCCTCGACGGAACGTTGACCGATATCGCCGAACGTGCGGATCGCGTGTTGGAGGCCAGTACCTCGCGCGACGTTTTCGCGGTGCAATCGAGTAGCTCTGACGACCGTCTCCGCGCCATAGAGGCTGCCATACTCTCGTTGACTACCCAAATCTTCAACCTGCATCGAACAAAAAACGCGTCCGTTTTTGTTTCGCGGGGGGGAGTAATGTGGCGACGGTTGTCCCACATACTGTCATCTGTTCCCCAGCGGTCGTAGCAGCAGTCGTACCAGCGGTCGTCACTGCCACTGTCTCAGTCTCTCACGGTGCCCGTCTACCGTTACGTTCACGCCGTTCCGCGCTCGCTATTGTCCGCGATTACAATAAAGAATTTCTTTTGTGTCATTTATTTTAACTATACTTACTTATACTTGTCATAGTAATGCAACCTTTATACATGTTACTGTAACCAAATAAAATTAAACAATTATTTAAAATACGTCGGCATTCTGAGTTCTTTCGCCTAACCTCAAATACCATTGCCGCAGGGATAGTGCTTAGATTGCCGCACGCTTATTGATAAGTGATATTAAAGGACCAGATTATATTATAAGCCAGCAAAAAAATAAAATAAAAACAAACAATAATATAATATTTTTAATACCTAGTATTATTTAATATATTATTCTCTATATTACCTACAATATGTAGAATAATTTCTTTTGTGAGAACATAATAACCTAAACATAATAAACCATAACAAGTGATAACCTGATCAATATAATTCATAAATCATATATTTATAATATATTTAGCCATTAAGGCAAATGGTAGCTTTAATTAATAATTAGTTTGTGAACGCGCGCGATTGTTTTATAAAATGGGTTGGTAATATTAAGTCGTTGAACTATTTGTTTTTTTTTCTCTGACCCCATTTAAGTTTAGTTTGAAATTTAGTTTGACTTTCTTGTAGACATTTTTTTTTATTTTATAAAGGTAAACAATCTTATGAGGAATCTTGTATTACATTTTCAAATCTTAGATTTTAAAAAAAAAATGTTATGAATTCTCAACTGAAAAAATTTGATATTTTTCGTGATTTTTCCATATTTTGTCAACATTTGAACTTTAAATGCTTATAAAAAAAACTGTGACTAAGGATTTTTAATATTTTTCAAATGTCATTGTAACAATAGAGTAGGAGTATCGTATTACATTTTCAAGTATTTTTACTCAACAAAAAAAGTTTGGTTGACTTTCATAGAAAATAGACTAATAAAATCCAAAAAAAAATATTTTAAAAATGTTATCGTGTATATCAAATGCAAATATAAACAGCCAGTGAAAATGCCATGTATATGTTTTAAGCCGGGTTCACACTACACCGTGTCGTGTAATATAATCACGGTTACCTCAGTTACCAAACGATACCGCATAGTTGAATATATTATTCAACTTTTGACCGTGTGGTTACATTAAGTATGAACCCGGCTTTATCTGCACATAAATGTAACCACACGGTCAAAAGTTGAATATATTCAACTATGCGGTATCGTTTGGTAACTGTGGTAACCGTGATTATTTTACACGACAGTGTAGTGTGAACCCCCCTTTAGAGTTACACCAAAATACAAAATCAATTTTGTGGAAAACCGATTTTGAGTGAAAATTCCCGTTTTCCTTAATTTGTATGTTGTTTTTTTCCTATTTGATAACTATTTTGAATTTTAAAATTTGACCCTCCAAATGCACCAACTAGTTTCATTTTCCCATCGAACAACATACTGTTGAAGAAAATCGAAGCAGTCTTACTGCCCTAAACCGTGATGACAGACACAAAAATTAAAAATTAAAAAAACAGACATTGTAAAATCAATATAATCATCGTTCCACTCAGAATCTAAAATTCATAGTCTACTTTTTTTTATAAGCATTAAAAGTTTAAATTTTGACAAATGTACGCAATGATCAATGTCAATATTCAATATTGTATGGACCCTTTCAACTAGACTGTTTGTGAAATAATAATGAGCCTCTCCTGCGAGTACGCAAAGTCTCGCGAGTACGTAAGTCTCGCCACAGAGGCAATGGGCGTGGTTACGTCAGCGATACGGCGCACAACGCCATCTCTGGAGCGTTGCACGCGTACAGGTTTTGGTGTGACGTACACACGAGAGCATACAAGTGACGAATGCTCACTCATATTCGCGTGCGACCCATCGTGCGAGCGTGTAGACGTGTGCGTGAGCATTCGGATCCATTCGTCAACGTTCGCCAAATAGGTCGAACGGCGAGCCGATCACTGTCGGTTTTTTGGTCTTGCTCAAAGAAACACCGCGCGCATACGAGTTATCGTGTGGACGGTTATTTTAGTTTTGTGTTGTGCGTCGTATGCCAGTAATAATTATTTAAAATGGACTGGCCCAGTAAATTAAGTTTCGAATTAATCGAAGAATTTCGACAAAATGATGTACTATGGGATCCACAAAATTCATCGTATTTTTCAAAAAATGCGAAACACGATGCGTGGTATTCCAATAAAGATGCAGATAAGATAAAAAAGAAAATGCTAAGCCTACAAGGTTTATTTCACTGAGAAAAGGCTAAAATAAAAAATAGCATTGGGA